TCGGTTAACGAAAGGTTCGATTAACGAAATCCTTATGAAAAACACGTTTTGTTATGAGCATCAGCTGATGGGCTAGTCTGCCAATTCAGTAATCTGTTATGTTTACATTCGTTTCCAGTGGAGTAAATATCAAGAAAGTTGTGCTCTTTAATATTTTCTTTCATTTTTTATATTAAAATTATTAGTAATTTTAAAATTTAGTTAAAATATTGATAGTATATGCAGTTAAGGGAACTAGTTTTTTGTGCGCTTATCAGCCGCTTGACTCAGCCACCAGGTGTCAATTTGGCTTTGTTGACAGTGGAGTGAACATTTTTGTTGGTGTCTTGAATATTTTTGCATTTTTACATTAAAATTATTGGTCATTCTGAAATTTAGTTAACTTATTGATAATATATAGTGCAGTGCAGTGTTGATTTAAATAAAATAATCTTGAATTACACCTAATGAACTTAAAATTTTATTGATGGACTTACTGCATCAAGCATGGGTCCCCTGAAAGATGATTTCTCCTCCATCCCCACTTCCTTCTCCTCCAACCCCACTTCTAATTCCCATCATCATCAACCAGGAGCCTTCTACATACACACCTCAAAGTAAGTGTACTTTACTGCCTTGTTTTGTTTTTTTAACTTTGTATGTACTTTTCTGTGAACTGGAACCAATTACCCAATATCCCATTGAAACAATGGATTCGGTTAGAAATTTTTCGGTTAACGAACAACTCTGTGGAACGAATTGTGTTCGTTAACCGAGGGACCACTGTATACATATTGTAAGTGTAAGCAACCCCCCCCCCCCATCTGTTTTTGGAAGAGACTTTTCAGCAAAATGATGGTAGTAATCACCTACTGGGAGGTGAGGCACAAGTCGGAATTCTAGATAAGTTGGACAGCCATGAGTCCCATATAGTCCAACTTCAGAATTGCTAACCAGGTTGTCAGAGAAAAATGGTTACAGTTTCCAAAAGCCCCACTAATCCTCATTGTCCCAAGAGGTCCAACTTATTATATCATGAGTCTATCATATCTCTATAGTTGAATGGATAACAAAAACACCCCTATAATAAGAACTTCAACTGTTAGTATACAAACAAGACTTAAAAAAAAAAAATAATAATAATAATAACTTCACGTGTTTTAAGGAGAGAATGAGGAGAGGTGCGAGTAGACACGACTGATAATACTGTATGGTGAAGGTAAAACTGGGTCCCACAGCCCATTAAGTGTAGTGTGGATACTGGAATTTTAGACCAATACATTATGTTGGTACACATGGAGGCAACATGAGCTGCACTACACTTGATTGCCTTCACTTTTCCAATTATCAGTTCGAACACCAATTTACAGGTGGGTGAACAGGTGCTGCCCCATGACCAAACTAGCAACCCTTAGGTTAGGTTAAGAGGGTAGCACTATCTACTTGACTGCCACAACCCACTCACTATCTTACTCGCGTTAAGCCCCAGATATCCATCTGATGTCCCCGCTAGATCCAAGCATTACCCTTCAGCACCAAGTCCTTCTTCACACAATGCCACTCTGTTCATTCTCCTAGATGTCCTTCACTCCACCTTCCTCTTAGTCTCCTGCATATCATCCATCTCTGAATGACTCGCCTTTTCCCATAAGACCAATACCTTTCTCAATCTGGGTAAGGTCACTTGAGTTAAAAGGACAGCCCTCCTCAATGGCAAGTTGGATTGGTCTCATTTCCACTCACCGATAAAATCATACCTTAAGCAACACACAGGTAAATTTTCAGCCCTCCACAGGTGATTCTTACCAAATATGTCAACAAAAGAGCCAAGAGGCGAATAAAACTTGCAGTAATGAGTAGGATGACACAAAACAAACATTATGTTAGGCTGTAAGTCATGTCATGTTTATTTGGTGTGCATGCCCATAAACAGTATATAGAGTATTGAGATGGTGGAGATGAGAGACCCAGAGGAGGTGAGGTGTTGGGTGGTAGTAAGGGGACCTTGTTAGTGTATAAACGCCTGACGCAGCAAAGTCGGCCAACCAGGGCTGGGCATGTGACGCTGTAGCTATCCCCATCATAGAGTCAACACCTAACCCGTTTCTCTTGAGACTTTCAACACGGAAGTTTAACGTGTACTTATTGTTTAGACGGGTAGACCGAGTCCATTGCATCAGTTATCATTGTGACAACATAGAAATATGGCAAATTAAGTACTCATTATAAGTGTTAAGATTAGACTAATTACATAGCTATGATTGTTATGTGAACATATATTGGATTAAACATTTATTTAGGAGTGCCTATGTATGATTTATTTGAAATACTAAAATGAATTGTATTCAAGTTTGACCGAATTATAACGTTGGAGGTTAACGTGAAGTCTGATTAACCTATAAACGCTCAGAAGACGTTTACACATGCCAACATCCCCAACTTTTGACTATCTTTTTTGTACTACTTTTAATATTAGACAACAAACACTCCTCAAGTCCCCAGTGCAAATAATCAAGTATTGGTCACCACTAATGAGACAACATCTGTCTTCCACCTCCAAGGGATACCTGTACTCTACAACTGTCCTTATACTGTATTACCAATGAAACAATGTTAATTTATCCTTTACCAAACAAGCATCATGACATATACAGTCCAATATAAGGATCTTAATGACATTTTCCAAAGAATTGAGTTGCCTCTACCCATTTTCAAGGACGGCACCAAAAGGATTCCTTGTGACGTGTTTAACATTTTGATCTTAAAAGTCAAACTGACTCAAAAAATTTGAGGGTCATATTGTCCACAAATCAATAAAAACAGCAGCAGCATAATTTTAGTGTAAGACCCATTTTAAAATTGGTGCTCAAGTGTTTTCCATAAGTCCACCTCTCAACCACACCCAGTGACAAGCAGATTCAGTGGTAATGCTGGATGATGGTTGCAGACATCAACTAGGAACAAGATAAGCATTCATACCATAAAGAGGCGAAGAATAATTTTTTTTCAAGTTATTTGTAAGGTGAAATAAAACCTATCCCAAATGTCAACATTAGAGCGCTAGCTATTGCTTTGTAGCAGCCATGCAACTGTTCGGGGCGACTTCCACACAGTCATCAGCCACCACATATGGAGCACTGTACTGTACTCTATAGTTAATAAGAAACTTTTCAATTATAAAGACACTATATCTTAATCCACCGTACAGTACTGTAGGAAGAGAACCTGAAAAACATAACAATAGCATTGACTGTAACCCAATAACCTCCAAATGACCTGTAAACAGATACTAACATTATGACGTGAAAACCAAATTCTCGTTTAACTATTAAATAAGACCTTTATCCAAGTGATCTTCCTCTTCCTACAATATCAGGTTGAATGGTGAAAGAAAGATATTACACAACCTTTGAACCAGTGACCTTGACAGTGATAAGAACCTTCTCCCCCTAGAATGTACTGGTGGAACATCATATTCATCAAGGCTAGGAAACTTGGGTTACAGTTTACAATTGCAGGGTCTCAATTGTTTCTCTTACTTTGACAACACAACAGACATAACGTTTCTCACTATTGATCTTTTTTAATTTTTGTTTTTATTATTATTATTTTATTTTACATTTTTTATTATAAATGTTATTTACTTTGAACTAATTATTATTGTTATTATTATTACATTTTTGCCCCCCAAGGCCCAGATGTGGGTCAGTGACCTGTGTCCGGTTGGGCTAATCCTCGTAAAAAAGAAGACCTTAACTCTGATCCTCCTCATAGCCAAACCATAAGTTTAAGTGCCACTCTCAAGAGCCTCATGTCTCTCTGTCAACCATGTCTTCCCCTTGATATTCATCCCAAAGATTGGTTCATCCTAGGCTCTCTTGATCACCTCTCATTGAACCACATCAGCCTTGCCTCCTTAACTTACTGATAAAACACGTCACCCCAGTTCTTTGCTCAACCTATCCCTAAAATATGCACTATAATACCATCTTAGTTCTTTCCCCAAACTAATACTACAACTCTTCCATTAATGCACAAGTCTGCTCCATACACTCACCCATTGTTTACTTGTATACCTTCTAACTCCTTGGTATCCTTCTGCCACCCATTTCATTTTACCCACACTCCCTTATTTGCTCTCTCTCACCTCCCTCTGCTTTCAACATCAAAGCAGATGTATCAAAACCTGAGCTCTGCGACAGTTCTTTCCTTCACTCCAGATCCTAATGTTATCCCCTCCAGTCCTGCAGCATAACATAACCTCTTGTCTTTCCACAATCCCTGATTCTAAAGACTCCCACTAATGCAACAATCTTTTTCTGCAGCTTATTACTCATTGCTGAATAAAGCATAACACTAACTTAACTAACAGGAAACCGAATAATTCCATTTACTGTACTGGAAAACAGTATAAACAATAAGAAAAAATGGATTATTTATCATTGTAAAAGAATAATGTGTGTATTGTACTGTATATATTCAGTGTACTGTGCAGTAATTACATTTTTAATTACCTTGGGGCTTTTAGATTACTTTGTGCTGAACTTTCACCTCTCTCTTGCTTTATTGCTGCACCAAAACAGAACCTTAACATGTGTACCCTTTGATGTCATGGAGTGTTATTAAACCAATCCCATATTCTTGTCTAAACTTACTAGGTGTTTCACCTTTACCCACCACACATTAATTGCTTTATTTTTTTCTCTTGTTAAGTCAGCAACACATTTTGTTTTGGAAGATATAGATGCTGATGGAACACCTTTAGGAAAATATTATGTGATGATTTCACAAATATAAAGACAGTACAAATACACTTAAGACAACCATACTCTCAAACATCATGACACTTTAATTACAAGTGACCTCAAACACACAGCTGTAGGTCAGCAGCAACACCCAACATAAGTTAAATTTTTAGAACCTCTAATGATCTAATATCCATTTTTTTTTCAAATACTGTAGTGTATTGTATCCATATCTCACTTTGCCTTTGAAAAATTTATGATTTGAGAAAACAAGAATTCAGGTTTGTAGTTTTATTTCTGTTTTATAAAGGTTTGTAAAAAGTAAAAAAAGTACTGTAGTTAATATTTTTGTCTATAACAAGATGCCTATGCTTGTGAAGTCTAGCCAACAATAATTAAAACAACCCAATCTGTTTGCAATAAACATAGCTTATGGAAGGAGGCCAATGGCTTTGTAATTCACAAGATGCATTTTTTTTTCACTTACCATAAATCATTAAGTATCAAAGCCATATTTCCTGAAAAATTTGATGAGTAAATGTTTTTTTTTTATTACAGTAATATCTTCATAATACATAACTCTATAACTTGCAATTTGACATAATTTGGCTACAGTATTTTCAGACATTCCTAACCTCAAAAGGTGCAACAGTTGAAGTCCAATAAAAGGAAAAATTTAAATGTAAAAACTTGAGCTGCATTCCACTGCTTCTGCTGCCACACACCCCAACCCACCACTGTTTCATGACATTCAAACAATGAGCAACAAATACAACAAGTAATCATATAGGGACAATAAGAGTAACGTTCTGCATACAGTACAGTACTAGGGCAGCCCCAGCACTGTACTGTACTGACACACAAAATTCTCATCTCAAAGGTGAAAAAAATTGTCAACTCATAATGCAAATTAATGACAGTACTTTTATATTGACCTCAAATATAATTACTTGTTATTTTATTTTCATCAATCCAAGAGATGAAACGACACTTCAAACTTTCCATTTAGGTGAACTCTTACTGGTACCAGTCAGAAATAGTATTGTACCTCAGTTAACAGTTAAACAATGGTACTGTACCTCAGTTAACAGTTAAACAATGGTACTGTACCTCAGTTAACAGTTAAACAATGGTACTGTGCCTCAGTTAACAGTTAAACAATGGTACTGTACCTCAGTTAACAGTTAAACAATGGTACTGTACCTCAGTTAACAGTTAAACAATGGTACTGTGCCTCAGTTAACAGTTAAACAATGGTACTGTACCTCAGTTAACAGTTAAACAATGGTAATGTACCTCAGTTAGATTACACAATGAGACCGGGTCTTTGGATTTCTTCTGTTCAACCGGTTATTTACAGTCATCCCTGATTTTTGGACTGTTTTATGAAAACTTGCTATACACTGGAAATGGATGAGCAATGACGAAAATTTAAAAACCGGAAAGCAAGATTTGCTATACAACAGAAATTTTGGGTGGAAAATTGAATACACTTGTGTATTTTAGAAGAAAATAAAAATAATCTTAACATTTTCCTCCTCCCTCCAAAATAACATACTTTACGTCATACAAGACACAGGGCCATATAAGATGCACCCCCTATTTCAGCAAGGAGTATATATTTAGTAGAATTTATTTATTTTTCTCCTGTAACCAGTTTTCTTAAAATAATATACTGTATACAGTAGTAAGCAGCATCAAACAGGGAGGTACTACCGCCTGGGAAGATATTGGAAGCATAATGTGTTGTCTAATGGTAGACCCTGCTGCCATATGGCACCACAAAAACTGTGACCAAGTCCCAGGTTGCTGATCTGACTTTCTGCCTCATTTACACACAATTGCAGGGTCTCAGTTATTTCTTACCATTGACAACACAACATACATATACTGTATTGTTTCTCACTATTGATCTCTTTTCATATTTGTATTTCTTTATGGTTCTTTATTATTATTATCAGTTGTTATTATTATTTTATTTTTTATTATAAATTTTATTTACTATGAACTAATTATTATCATTATTACAATTTTGCCCCCACGCCCCGATGTGGGTCAGTGACCTGTGCCCGGGTGGGCTAATCCCTGTAAAAAAAAAGAAAAAAGTGAAGAATAAATAAAAATAATAGAAAAAAAAAGTAGTGTAGTACTGTATTGCCATTTGGTTGTTGGACAACAAAATTTATCAATACTGTCATTTCACTACACATGTTGAAAGTTTATTCCCTTTATGTTTTTTAACCTTATGATAATTATTCATCTTATTGTTTTGTACATTTTGTATGAAAGATTAAGTGTGCATGTAAAAAAAACTATCTACTCAAAATTAGGAGTTGAAAAACATCCATAACAGCTCACAGCTGGTCAGGAATATTATCACTGATGTAAAAGTAACTGTCTACATGGTAAGGCTGAAGCAAACCCTCAACTCCCTGTACAGTACTGCTGTGTACCTCCTTTCCCACCATACTACCTACCTTGTTTATCTTATTTAACAATGTGCTATTTCAAATGAAATTAGTATACAATCTAGATAAAAAATGTAGATAAATTCATTCCATAAAGGCCAAATAAAAATTTAACACAATCGCCATTTGCAAACACTCCCTGCTTTGACATAGCAATGCAGACCAGCACTACCTCCACCAACTCCCTAGCAACACCCCCCCCCCCACTGAGCCTACTGACTCATGTGCACAAAAATTTATATTCCCTCTGCCTGTATGATAACTTTTTCACAATATGCATGCAGGCTGATGCGTGCATGGAGGGGGAGGGGGAGGGGGGGTTGTGTGTGTGTGTGCACGTATTTACACAAAAATTCAAGTTGAAAAACAACCATAACATCTCACAGCTTGGCCTGGTGGTTACAGTGATGAGTCTAACCTGGCTACAATGCTGGCAGTGATGTTAACAGATACAAATATGAAAAGAAAGTTATCTGTAAATCTTCATTTGTATCAGGTACTTATAGATAAATGATGCTGGTATGACATTAATAGATACTGTAGTATGAGTTCAGAAATGGTTGCTGCTTAGTTCTGCAGAGTTGGGTGTCTGTTGTACGGATGCTAATCTTCTCGAATTATCGTCAGTACACTATATTATATTATAGTTATAAATCCAGCTTTTACAATTAATTTTTTTTAAATTCATTACCCTACGGGAGACCACAACATTATATAGGAGGCAGGCGGATTCTTTTAGCCATTTTCAGACAAAATAGTGCGTTTTATATGCCGTAAAATATGGTAAAATAAGAATTACCATAATAAACAATAAAAATTATAAACAGCACAAAACAAAATACAAAAGAACATACAGTACTACAGTATATACACAATACAGTATAGCTTCCTCCAGACAATGGTGAGAGTGGGCAACACAGCTGACTCGGTGACGTGTGAACGCTGTGACACCACATTAGGAGAGCATACTGGTCTTAGAAGTCATGTTATGCTAGTCTTAAATATTAATAAACCTAACTTAACAATCAGTGGCAAATGGAATAGAGTAAACTTACAGCAGAGGTGTAGTGTTGAAATTGAAATAGGTCTTAACTAGATAACTAGCCAGACACACTATTAATTAACCATCATCCACACATGTTCACCTCCTACACATGTACACCCATGTTCTCAAATTTTCTTATTTTATGTTTTCACATAATACTATTTAAGTTAAATTACAGTATTGAAATAATCTTTCCACAACTTTTACAGCTTCATGACCTGTGGTAATGGCACCATTTACAGCTCACTGGCTGTGTGTTATGCAGATTTGTACAGAACTACTCGTGTGCGCACACGCACTCCACCATTGGTATCAGCGTCAACAATTCTGCTCCCGACTATACCGCCCTTCAGGATTTATTGAACAGTCTCCAAAACTGGACCACCAACAACCACATCATCAACCATACCAAGACCATGGTTATGCACATCAACCTCTCCTCCGGCGTTGTCCCACCCCCTTCCATTACTTTAGATCCTGACACACTCCAGGTTGTAGACCACTAAGCTCCTCGGCGTCACCATAGACAACAAACAAAATTGGAAACCACACGTCAGTGAAGTTATCAAATCCTCCAGTTTCCGTCTCCACCTCCTCCGCTGAGTCAAGTCCCTCGGAATTCCTGCACCCGAGCTCCTCAGTGTTTACTCAACATTCATACTTCCCAAGCTCACCTATGCCTCCCGTACCTGGTTTTCCTCCCTAAATGCCACACAATGGTGGCATTTAGGGTGTTTACACCTAGAAAAAGAGCAAAAGAGGGAATGCAAGATTTTTCTCTCCCCTTCCTACTCCACATATCAAGAAGCACTCAACACACTGACCCTCTCGGCTCTCTGACAATCACCACGACCCCATCTGTAAATTTGGTGAGAAGCTTCTGCACCATCCTCGACACCGGCTCCTACTACCACCCGAGATCCCTCGTCCGAGAATTGCTGATCTACACCACAACCGCATCCAGCCCATACGAGCACGAACTGATCGCTATAAGAACAGCCCTGTCCCAACCATTGTAAAAATTATCAATAGCTTGTAATCAACCAGTGTATTCACTCCCAGTCAATCTTACATTTTGCACTGTCAGTGTTTTGAAATGCCCTGTAGTTTGAGCTTCTCCCCACCTAGTTATTATATATCATATGTGTATCACTTATGTTAATTGTATATTATTTGTAAATCAAGAGACCCATTCCCCAATTATGAAACTGTACTTTCAGCCTTCCGGCTGCCATACTCTTTCAATAAACCGTTAATTATTATTACACACCCCTCTCTTCTACTGGCTGTTTCTGCATTATTATGTTCAGGATAGAACAATATTAATAAAGTTTGTTGTGCTGTGCATATGTGATGGTGTAAAGTCAAGATTTAGTTGTGTAGGAACCCACCTCCATCTATATAGTGGCAGTCTTGGGGAAAATTAGATTCATTATATGAAATTTTGATTTACGGCCAGATTGTACGGAATCTAAACCTTCCATATAATTGGGATGACTTTCTTCTCTTCTCCTCCACCCCCACTTCTAATTCCAATCATCATCATCATCAACCAGGAGCCTTCTACATACACACCTCAAAGTAAGTGTACTTTACTGCATTTATTTTTAGTTTGTATGTAATTTTTGGTGAGCTGGAAACAATTACCCAAAATCCCATTGAAACAATGGTTTCGGTTAACGAACGACCTTCTGGAACGAATTGTGTTCATTAACCGAGGGACCACTGTATATCAACAATATCAGTTAAATCAATTGTTTTATAGTACAGAGAATACTTGTAATTGCCAAGTAATGAGATAACAGTCTTTGTAAGGGGCTGATTTCAGTTGAGCCTAAGAAAACCTCCGCTACAACCCATCAACTAGCGTCGTGGAAGACACATGGTAAATTTCAAGGTATATTTTTTAAATAAAAAGTGAGTCTTGTACGCCGCAAAATACCGTAGCCCAGCCGGGCAGGCTACAAAAATGAAAAAAAAATCAAGTGAGAAACAATACATGTCTGTTGTGTTGTCAATAGTAAAAGAAACAATTGAGACCCTGTAATTGTGTGTAAATGAGGCAGAAAGTCATATCAGCAACTTGGGACTTGGTCACAATTTTCATGGTGCCATATGGCAGCAGAGTCTAATGTAATAATCTGTGCTTATTAATACCTGTACCCTTCAAATACAACAGAGCACAGTACAGTACTATGTATATACCTCATAGGTAAAACAATAATATCATTCAAGACATCTTCAGGTCATAAGACACACTAATCCCCCAACCAACAATGGGTGACATGACATTGCATCAGGTCAGGTTTGTAACATGACCCACTAATCTCCCACCCAACCTTCACCACAAGTTAAGATGAGATTACAGTTATGTATTACAGTCAGCTGAGTGAACAGTGTCTGCCTACTCTAGGCTAAAGATGACAGGATCTGATGGTGAGTACAATATATACAACATAGTAGTACAGTAGTATACATTACAGGTACTCCCCGACTTATGACGGGGTTAGGGACTGACATCCAGGTCGTAAGTCGAAATGGTCGTAAGTCGCAAATGCTTAAATAACACATAGGAAATCTAAAATGGGGGTCTCTTTTTTTTCTCAGCACCACAAAACTCTCACTTTTAAGCTTGCCAGCCATTTTAAAGTGAATTACAGATGAAAATTTTGTTTGTGTACTGACTTTGGGACTCAAAAATACGTAATTTGACCAAATTTTGGTACGACTGAGGCAGGTCGTAAGTGCGGGTGGATGTATATCGAGCAGGTCGTAAGTCGGGGAGGAGCTGTATTATGTTCACAGTATGAACAACACTGTAAGTGTACCGTGGCGTTTGGGTAAATAACTACAGCTACTACGAGCTACATCGCGTACTCTTGGAAAAATAATGCCACACTGTCTTTGCTGTAACACAGCTCATATCACCACCCACCCTTACATCATCCTCCAACACCCCACCACCCATACCTTCACACACACACACAACAATGGAATTAAGACAGCATGCATGAGTGAAGGTCTTATTGTAAGACAAATTTGCATGTATGACTGTGTGGTAGCGAGTTAAAAATCAGTTGTTGAGGAGTGCTTGGCAACACTCATTTCCACTCCATCTCTCTAATCACCCACACCTTTCTGCTTTCTCACTCCATATTTTATGTTATATAAAGTAATGTTGAAGGGATACAACTTTGCTCATTTATACTTATCACAATCTCCCCTAAAATACTTTAGGTTTCGTGTTTATTCAAGACAACTTCAGGTTACGAGACCCACTAACCCCCCATCCAAAAAACGGTGACCTGGCATTCCATCAGAGACCACTAATTCCCCACCCTACCTCCACCTGACACTGCATCAGGTTAGGTCAGGTCAGTTAAATGAGACCCACTAATCCCCCACAGCTCCAAGGGAGTAAAAAATACCAATCTTTGCACACACAGCTTCATTCACACCCATATCATAAACCAAAGCTTTGTCCTTTAATGTGTTCTCCAATATTACAGTTTAAAGTTTAAGTGCAAAATAATAAACACACAGGGTTGTGTAAGAGAGCCTCAAACTGAATTGTACCTGAAGAACATAAGTGTGTCATCTACAGCAGCTAATACACTAAATAAAAACATCTTTACGTACTTGTTTTATATATTTTGTTCTGTTTAACCCATAAACAATGGCTAGTGTTTCATGCAGAATATGTATTGTCTTTAATGGGGATACTGTAATGGTTGAATCATATATGATATAGGCCAAGAGAGAGCTAATAGGTGCAGGTGGGAGGGGAGGCGCTTCCCATTGCCATGTTTGCCAGGTTGTTTTTATTTATTCATGGTTATATTTTCGTATGATCAGCCTCTTATGGTGATGTTTCTTCATAAATAAAAATAAATAATATGATACAGTAAAACCTTGATAACTCAGTACATGGGGCTCTGGCCTTAGTGAATTACCCCAAATTCCAACTTATAGCCCCACACACACACATAGAACAATAAATAATCGGCCCATAAACATATACATGTAATTACTATTTTTCAAAAAGTAACTCTTACCAGCACTGCAGGTGAAGATGGCAGTGCTGTAGTAGGTGATGCAGGGGAATGGTAGGTGACACAGAGGAATGGTAGGTGACAGAGGAATGGTAGGTGACACAGAGGTATGGTAGGTGACAGGAATGGTAGGTGACACAGAGGAATGGTAGGTGACACAGAGGAATGGTAGGTGACAGAGGTGAAGGAAAGCAAACATTACATAACAGAAAACACTTATGTATACTACTGTAATTTGGTCATACAAAATACAGAATAAATTTTAACAAAAGTAATTCTTTTCTCTATGTATAATTCAAGTCTGAGTATGTAAATAAACACATATTACAGTCCACCCTCGTAAACCAGTTTTCTTTATAAGAGCAAAAGAGTTGAAATTAAAATACTCTAATGTGGCTTAGAAATAAAGAAAATATAATGTAAATGTATAAAATAAGAAAAATGAAGAGCATAGGTGTGTGTGTGAGGTGAACGTATGTAAAGGCCACTCAGTGAGTTGTACTGCGTGGCTGATTCACGCGCCTCCCTCCCTCCCATGTGACGTCACGGCACACACACAAGTCTCAGTCAGCTGGTTGACTGCCTGGCTGAGCTATGGCGTCACTTAGATGATGGTCGAGTGTGAAAGGAGCTATTTTTTGTACATTAAATATGTGCTGCGGTACTTTATGATATGCTGTGTATCAATTTTATTATTTACCACAGCAATTTTTTTTAAAAGAAGTTACAGCGCTACATGTGTTAGTCACACAAACACTTCAGTTGTTTTCCGATTGTTGGACTAAATTAGAGTTTTTACCAAAGGGCACAAAGTTGGGATACCTGGAAGAGTCAGATAGTTGGACTTCAGATGAAATGAATTACACTATAAATAAAATAAAATCTACAACATTGGAATTACCTTAATAGTGGAAGCATACAGTGGCTGGCCTGACATGAATGGGGAAGGTTGTTGGGTGTTACTGGGCCAGCACAGCAGGAACCACATGTTACCAGGGAGTGATGATTATTACTTCTGGTGGCCTAGATACTCTGTGCTACAACGTATAGTACTTTACGCCCAAAATATTGGGGCGCTACAGCACCCTCCCTCCCCACGTCCATGTACTGGGTGGAGTGAGTCAACACACAGCCGACCACAACAATAATAAACACCAGACCGACTAAGTAAGTGTGGAGTGCAGCATGGCGAGTGTTTCCCATGCAGCCAAATATGCAGAGCTCATCCTCTATAATTTTATATAACGAGGTATTCCCGAGCTCTTTTATAATAAATTCCGAGACCACGTACGAATTACAGTATACGAAAGTCAGACGTCGAATGCTCCGAATTTAACTCAAAAATAAAAGAATGCGTAGTATTGAAGACGATGTCTCACTTTATATTCTCTCCTTCCTCCCTCTCAGAACATAGTAACCTAACAATAACAATCATTAAGAGAGAAGCCATTTATTATGAGAAAACAAAAACAAAAAAGGTATCAAGATGAAGTTATTTACAGCTCTATCACAGGGAAGCCAAATATTGGTTTTTCTAAGATGTTCTCTGCATTGGGAAATAATAAGGTCGTACATAGCAGTGGCTGGTACTATAGTATTTCCGGGCTAACCCGGTCCGTAAGCCACGTCCCTCGTCTAAAGCTACAAATGGCCGATCGGTTCGTAGAGATGTTCGCGTCGCTGTCCATTTACTCAAACTAAATGTGTCCACAATTGTTAAGCAGACCTGTTATTATCTAAAAGCATGTTAAATATCTGGAGTGGGTAGTCAATGTTGCTTGTAAAAGTTTTATTTTTTTCTGATGTTACTTAATGTACATATACAAGATTTTTTTACCCCATTATGTAAGCGTCACACAAGTGCACAGATAACAACCAGATGATACAGGGGTATGGAAGCAACCATCTGAAGGATAATGGCTGCCATCATGACTTGGTGAAAGCGTTCGTGTATCTTTCAAGTAGGGGAGAGTCAGCGGCACATTCACACCGAATCACGCATCAGTACATAGCAGGAACACAAGCTGCTGGTCTGCCATCATGCAAAGGCACATGGCACAACCATCCACAAGTTAAGATACCCGTGACACAAGTCTCTCTTGAGATTCTACCCTGTAAATTTGCTGCCTAAATGTCCATAAATATGCAATGATGGCCTGCTTCACAGTGATAATTAATTCCAGCATTGCAGAAACAGAAAAATAAGTTCCCAAGTTAGTTTGGCACAAGATACTGTCACTCACACTTCTGGAAGCTACTACAAAGCACCAACCATTGTACTGGTTGGATCACAAAAGCTGGGGTTTACTGAACACACAATTTGGATAACATTAAATTCTTCTGAATAGGAAATTTTTTAAAGACAATTGTGATTACATGTTATATTGTTGAGAGTAAGGACAAGATCACTCCTTACACATGACATACTCTTACCCTTACTGTCAACCATATTTTTTCTTACCATTTAGTATAATATGGTACCTTGTATTTTTATTTACTGTACTTCAAATTAAAATTTTATGTTAAAATTCACAATATTGTACTATTTTTATTTTTTATTTTGAAAACAAGAGCTGTGATCACATACTCACAGCCAAGATATCCACAGACAGTTACAGCCAATAGTGACAACAGCCAAAACATCCCCGAGAGGCAACAATGGCCGCACCAGCTGGTCTCTTCCTCTTACAGCCATTTCCCACACCGCAGACAACAATAACACCAGCACCCCACGATAACCCCGAAATAACAAACTGTGATACTTCTGGTTTACTGTACCACATCTGTTCCTCCTGAAAACTTATTTAATAAAAAAAATAAAATAAAAATACAATCAAACTCTGCCTACTACAACTACTGGACCACAAAAGGTGAACATGTAGTACAGTAGAAAACTAATCTCATGATACACTGCATCAAGTCACCCGCCCAAGGTGTACTCTCACTAGCTTCTCAACCCCCATGCCTATTCTCTAGACATGTCTTCTATAAACTCAACATTTTCCCTCTACATCCATACCCCCTTTATAATACTTCCTAAAAATAAATTTAACAGCATTTCTCCTCTTAACAGATACTGTATTTAGAAAACAATTATCTCTAGTTTTTAACCCTAGTATAAAAAAATAATGCATTTCCTCTACCTGTAGCAAGTTGTATCACTCTCTCCTTGAGGACAAGCACGGGAAATGTGGCCACCAGCGCCGCACACATAGCACCGTTTTTCATTCTCTTGCTCTCCTCCAATTGGACATTCGCGCGAGATATGTCCAATCTTGCCACACACGTAACACTGGAATGATAATTTAGGTGAAATTTGGTCCATTTTAAAATTCAGATGCATAAACTTTACCAGTGAAGAAAACCTGTCCAGCACTTTAACAGTATATCACTCCCACAAATGGTGAGGTGTACAATGTTAAATAATATAGGTAAGAGACAACAAAATATTCAGTACAGTACAATATTACAACAAACTTCAATAAATTGAGATTAAGCAGTAACACACTTAAGGTCACACACAATTCTGTTACCTAATTTGAATTTCCATACTGTACTGTATTAACCAGTTAACATTTGATTGTGTGGAGGTACCCAAATATCCACATATAATTCTGGCTTATTCTTTTTTTGCTCAGCATCTACAAAAATTCATCCCTGTCACTTACAGTGAAGCTTCCAGGTTTGAGTTTGAACACCAAAATTATTCTCTTGTTTACCAACAAATGGTGTACCATTTCTCAATGTTGGGAGTCAGTCACTTAGCTACGCGATCAAGTGTGAGTACAGAATAATATGCAAGAGAAGGATTATATATTCCTCAAAGTGTGATGGTTAATAATCTGTAAATTAATTGGCATTCATCACACAACATCACAAACTGAAACTGTCTGACACCCAGGGCCTGCCCATAATGGTGGATGAACAAGATATTACTTTCACGGAATTAAATAAAAACATTATCTTTGCTTGTCATGGGTTGCGTTGTGCCTACCCAACCCCACTGTTTGTTTTACGGGAGATAAGACACCAGGCAAGCCGTGCCTCAGTCATCACTATTTCATTAGTGGGCATGAGAGTCAGTCTATTGTGTGGGGGGGGAACAGTGTTGTATTGTCCACTGTGTCTCACACCCCAAAAACCACATTTTTAGCCATTATCCCCAAGACCATGGGTTAGTTAAGACCTCCCCTTCCTGAAGGGAACGGGATGCTACACAGAGTCCTTTACCTCGACCCCGTCCTGTGGACTGTCAGTGACACGAGACTGTGTGTGCTAACCCAAGGTTTTGTTATTCCCTGTGGAAAGATCATGTGTGAAAGCCTGGTTGCAACAAGAGCAATTAAGGCTCTGTTAAGTCATACCCATAGTAGAGTAGTCAAATGTGCCTCCCCAGGTTGAAAATTCCCTATTTACAAGATTAATTTCATTACAGCGTAAATGTGAGTGATTCATATATCCATGCAAATTGTAAATCATTGTATGGAAGCTTGACAAATAAATGTACCGTAAGTGCAATTATCTGCCCGTACCTGTGATCCTATCTTATTATTACTAAAGGTAATGACTGATTGGTTAAGACAAAGTGTAACCAATAACTTAGATGGATGTTGGAAATTAATGGAACTTATTAAATCATCATTTATCAAGTATAAATCATGGCATGTCGGGTGGTGGAGTGAACTTCTACGTAGATACACCATAATCTCCTGTAAGTAACCAGTGTGAAGGTATCGAACTCTACGGTAACGAATTAAGAAACATTATTGTATCCACCCAGACGTAGATCGATGACATTGCTTTTATTAATTAATATTCTCCTGGCCACACTTATTCTTGATCAGCATCCTGCCACATCCCAGATACAAATTTGATATACTGTAGACATGAGTTCCTGTCTGGCTCCCACATGTTACCTTATCTGCCCAAATATTTTCTATGGGGTTGCTATCATAGCCCTTGCTAGGTGAGTCCAGCAGCTGCAGGTTCTCCTGACCACTCCCTGGCTGCTCTGGCCTTATGGATGGGGCAGAGATCTGGCACCATGTGATAGGGACAGTGGGGAAGGAGACTTACAAGGTGGAGATATGGTACAGGAATGTGCACCATCTGTTGGTAAACAATGAGACTAATTTTGGTGGTTCAGACTTCAACCTTGAAGCTTCATTTGCACTGACGGGGGAGCTCTGTCCAAATTCTTCATCGTGGGTTTCAGAAAATAGGTATTGTGAGTGTAATGCCACTATCTTTTTTACTTTTTTTTACTGTAATACATAGGGTTAACATACTAGTAAACTATACAGTATCTTAAAAAAAAAAAATGGTACACAAGGTGTGGCCCAAATTTCCATACCCAAGTATGCAGGTAATCTTTCATTACCACATGGAATAGCAACCTTGTCTTGCAGGTTTAGAGGAGTCTTTGAAGTCCCACATAAAGTACCCAGTACCCACTCCATAAAACTTGCCTGATAGCAAGAGGGACACTACAGCAAGCCATTAGGTAATCACAGTTAACCCACATCAAGTGTGGAATATGGCCATAAAACAGTGATGATGATGAAGATTTTGGCATGACGTCAAAATTCACCTCAATAACTGTATCAGCAAACGTGGGAGATCTAAACAATTGGGTAGGATTCCTTAAACAATATTTACACATAAATGAAGAAATATTTCATATAATAAAATGAAAACAGGATTACACGCTGCTTACCTTGGCATTACGGTTCTCACTCTTATTTTCAGTGCACTGGCGAGAGATGTGACCGCTTTTGTTGCAGACATAGCAGGTGCGCTCTGGCTCGGGACAATCACGAGCTATGTGACCCATCTTGGAACAGTTGTAGCATGAAGCTGAAAAAAAGAAGAAATCATAATTACCCTATTACATTAACTTTCAAGTATCTATATTTGTAGAAACCCCCCATAACAATACAGTATTTCATTAAACGACGACAGAAAGCAAAAGTTGTGTGTGATCACATGTGTGGAGACTTTCTATGCAATCCTAAATATGACCCAATAAAGGTTACTTCATAAATTCTGCCGTTTAAGAAAATTTACCTACTGCAACATTTTTACATAAAGTAACTGGAACATCTCTAAGCCTTCAAAAAATATCCCAACCTTAAACAAAGTGTGTCATCTTTTGCATTCTAGTTTTCAGTTCTGATTCTGGATCATGAATAACAGGTGGGTGACTAATGAAGGGATGTATGGACACACAAAGTACAGTAAAGGTGAAGGACATCCAGGAAGTAGTGAATGATGGTGTCGAGTGGTTTATGGTGGTTATAACTGCGAGAGGGAGTAAATAGTGTAAAGACTGGTGTCAATAAATACCATAATGTAAGTTTGAGGACACTGGTGTTATGAACTACGTATTGGTTTCTTTGGTAGAGAAACTTGTGACACACTCAGGGTATAATGCAATGACAGTAACTTATGGGAATTTTATGATGAAATGTTCAGTACTGAAATTTTAACATACAGTACCTTGAATTTGAAAGATTTAATCTAATTGTTTGCTTGTAAATTAGTTAAAATTACCAATATGACAGAACAAGAATAACCAATTATAACTGTTTCCACCGGGGCCATGGGTTTATGGGTCTTCAAAATAATGCGTCATTGCCCGTTTTGTACTTATTACAATATCTTTAAAAGAGGCTGCTTTCTCAAGCACCAATACAGCTTATAACCAGGTTTCCAAGACTATTCTAATAAGGAGATACTGATGCCCCAGGATTAAAAAATGTTCAGACTATACTGTATACTATGCCATGTTGGGTGAAAAAAATAAGACTTACGTTCATCAGAGGAATGTTCACAATCCTTAGCAATATGACCGACTCCATCACAACGGTAGCAGTGATCCTCCTCCTCTTTGCAGTCACGAGCAAAGTGACCGGGACGGTTGCACTTGTAGCACTTTTCTAGGGAGTAGAAGTCTGAAGTCACAAAGTGTGACCAAGTTCAGAATTAATAACGGAGGAATAATGTGTAATATGTGAGAAGCACCACAGTTGAGTGAATGTGCTACAAAAGCACATCACAATGTGTGGAATTTTAGCTAAGTCAACCTCAGCATCTACCTAACACTATTAGCAAGAATGACCTGCAGTTCTGTCCTTTAATAAACAAGAGAGTAACTGCAATCTTGTCATTCTAAAAAGAAGAAAAAACTCTGGCAGAAATAACTAAATCTAACAATCTTAACCCAAGATGTAAAGTGACTGCTATACTCAATATGATACATATATCATTAACTTTTAAAAATAAACACTACTGTACTGTACTGTATTAGCAGGACACAATAACCCATCATTAAGAGGATAACAATGTGTACATTTGAGGGAAATGTACAATTAGCAAATATTTTCAAGTGACCTAAACATAAGATACAAGAGCACCATTGTAGAATGTAAGAAAACCTCATGTGGCAACATATATACACAAGCCCCTTAAACTGTACTGTACAGTCAAAGGGTAGGCCTACAGTAAGTGCCAGAAATCAAACTGTAATAAACTGTACAACAGTTAGGTAGCAAAGCACCCATTTAATGGAAACCGTATTATGCTTTGTGATGCTGCCAACATCTTATTGGTGTTTCTGCAAAAACAAATCACTATCTATGTAACTTTGTGCTCCTTGAAATATAGGGTGGGAAGCACTGTTACCAATTTGGTGATTAAAGAGAATTTTCAAATTTCTGGTGTCATTTTATGACTAGTGATAAACCTGAACACCCACGGTACGAACAGTGATCTCACTTAAACCAAGCACGCGGCCAACCTCCAACACACGCTCTCCTCTCTGAAGGCGGATGATCCCATTTAATTTCACGTCCAATACGATTGTTTTTCGTGCCTTTTAAGCTTTAAGCGCCCAAGAGGAGGCAGATGGACGTTTTCCTGACATGCTCAACGGGGAAAACAGCGTTTAACACTAAAAAGGTACGTGATAAACACACAACAAATGAGAGCAGAGAAAAAGTAGTGCTGGTGTGAACTGAGAAAGTGATACCCGGGAAGCTTGCTGGACGTGGTCACAGTTGTTGTACAGAATACTTCATTATCATCATTATCTTCATCATTAGTAGTAATAATGTTTATTATTACATTATTAATAATATTAAAATCATTGTTGATATGACTGCAACTTTATAGTAATAACTTACAAGCACCTCACCAGGCATCACATGTGACTCCGCTGTCAGGCGAATACGCGCGGCAAATTTAAACTGTCTTGAGGCTTTATTTAAAAAATAGGTGCGCGTAAATTAGATTTTGGTATTGAACAATAGCGTTATTCCAAAACGCTTAAATCAAATGTGTGTAAAACGTGAGTTACCTGTATATGCAAGTGGTATCCCGTTAGCCGGAACAATTGGTGCAGAGCATTTCCGGGAATGAGAGACTTCTGGGTAATGAGACCACTCTCTCAATCCCCGGAATTTTCCGGGTAACGTAAAAATGTTCTTGGAAGTTCCAGAACTTGCCCATTACATTATCTCTCTAACCCGGAAAAATATCCCCCATCCCTGGAATTTTCTGGACACTGGAAAATTTTTATCGGAATTTCCAGAAAATTGCGCCCGATTTTCAACTCTCAAACCCGGAAAAAATCCCCGAGCCTCAGAAATTTTCTCGGATTTTTCCAGAAAATTACAATTCTGGCCATCAGAGAATTCAGAGTTTGAAGGATTCCGGTTAACGGAGATATTACCGTGCGTGTACAGTAGGGAGTGACAGTTTGGCAAAAGTTTTCAAAATCTAGAGAAGCATGCAGTAGACATGGTCCGTGGGCACTTAAGTGGGCTAAAGCAAACCAAGAGCACAGCAATGACTTCAAAGCCACTGCTTCATGATGTAGCCATTTTATGGAAAGAAATGATCTAGTACGGAGTCAGAAAACAAAAATAGCGCAAAAATTACCAGCAGCTCTTGACTGTAAAATTACTAACTTCCATCACTGCGTAATACAACAACGTAAGAAACACGGTTATCCATTAAGCAACATCGGGAACATGGATGAAACACCCATGAACTTCGACATGGTCGGTAGTCATACTGTTGATACAAAGGGCAAAAGCAGTGTTAGTGAAAACAACAGAACATGAAGACACACAATTTACAGAAGCACTTTCATGCATGGCAGACGGAACCAAGCTGAACCCAATGATAATTTTCAAGAGGAAAACAATGCCAAAAATCAAGTCCCCGGCTGGAGGTTTTGTTCACGCCAACGAGAAAGGGTGGACAGACGAACAAAGAATAAAGTTATGGATTGATCATAAATGGCGTTACCTCTTGGTATGGGATATGTTCATGAGTAATTTAACAGAGGGAACAGAGACCAGCATGGCGAGGAACAACAGTGACATTGCAGTTATTCCTGGTGGATTAACTTCAGTTGTACAACCACTCGGTTTATCGAAACAAACCATTCAAGGATCGTGCTCGTGAACAATGGAATGAGTGGATGATTAGCGGCAAAAAGCCTTATAAAAAGGGTGGGAATATGCGTGCTCCTGAACTGGATGTACAGTAATCCGGATTTTGGCTAATCCAGATCACCTTGCTGGGCCCCCAATTAATGTTTCACTGTATATACTGCACTGTAGTTAAGTACCAGTAAATATGAGAAAAAATATAAATAAAATATCGCAATGCCATTTGGCTGCTGGACAACAAAGTATTTGTTAGCTTGTCGGCGGAGGAGTGTGGGCCGCCACAGGCTACGCACTTCTTCTCTTGGTTGGGGCAGGAGGTGTAGCGATGCCCGGTATTTCCACACTTGGGGCATACATCCTCCTCCACTTTGCACTTGTGTGCGGTATGTCCGTATTTCTGGCATTTGTAGCAGTGCGTAAGTTTGATGCATGACTTGACTGGGATGGTAACCCAGGCCAACTGAACTTCCTTGGGCATGGTCGTGGGGTGCCCGATTAGTGCTGTAGTTTCGGACAGTCTCTTGATAACGCCGAGTTGTCGGTCTAGTAATTGTTCTAGTTCTTGGGTGATAACTCCCAGCCATAAGCAAATGAGAGCAACTAGATGCCGTTGACGGTGTCGTTATCCACGAGTTGTCTGGCCTGTCCAATATCTGCGAACGTGATCTTGATAATTCCGTGTAGCAGGCATTCTACTTTGGCGATTCCTTCAATATTTTTGCTCTCGAAGAACTTCTTGAGGTCAAGAAGTAAAATACAGAACTGTAGCACATACTTCTGTACAAAAATAGATCTTTTCACACTCAAATATCTCTACTAGTTCACTGCTTATGACCCATTTAAATAATTAAGACCTTTAACAAACACATGAATTGTGATCTGAAATATCTGCTGATGATATACACTCACGTGGAATATCAAAACAAACACCAAATTATCCAAGACAGTACGGTACAATACTGTACTGTGTCTGAACAATGAAATGTTTAAGGACACCCACACAAGTACCCATATATTGTACATCATGTACAGCAGTACCTTATATCTTTTTTATGAGCAAATAATAATAACAACACAGAAGAATATACATTGTATACAGCACAGGCGTTCCTCACTAGCCGTGTGGGTTAGCTCACTTGAATATTGAATATTCGGATGAATAATAATACGCCCACCTCTCGTTTTACGCAGGGGTTACATTCTTGAAAACAACCGCTTAATTAAAACACGCATAAATTAAAAAAGAATTTCCCATAAGAACACATGTAAATGGTACAGGTTAGGGGAACCATCATATACCACACAGGGTACGAACAGTGATCTCACTTAAACCAAGCACGCGGCCAACCTCCAACACACGCTCTCCTCTCTGAAGGCGGGTGATCGCATTCAATTTCACGTCCAATACGATTGTTTTTCGTGCCTTTTTAGCTTTAAGCGCCCCAGAGGAGGCAGATGGACGTTTTCCTGACATGCTCAACGGGGAAAACAGCGTTTAACACTAAAAAGGTACGTGATAAACACACAACAAATGAGAGCAGAGAAAAAGTAGTGCTGGTGTGAACTGAGAAAGTGATACCCGGGAAGCTTGCTGGACGTGGTCACAGTTGTTGTACAGAATACTTCATTATCATCATTATCTTCATCATTAGTAGTAATAATGTTTATTATTACATTATTAATAATATTAAAATCATTGTTGATATGACTGCAACTTTATAGTAATAACTTACAAGCACCTCACCAGGCATCACATGTGACTCCACTGTCAGGCGAATACGCGCGGCAAATTTTAACTGTCTTGAGGCTTTATTTAAAAAATAGGTGCGCGTAAATTAGATTTTGGTATTAACTGAACAATCGCATTATTAAAAAAACGCTTAAATCAAAAGCGTGTAAAACGCAAGTTACCTGTATAATAGATGGGAAAAAATAGGGTTCGGTAATATATATATAGGTACTCCTCGGTTTACAACCACCCGGACATGTGACCGCCACAGTCGTACCAAATTTTATTTTTTAAATTAAGTATTTTCGAGTCCCGACGTTAGTGATTGCGCTGTGTACTGACAAAATTTGCATTTGTAATTCCCTTTAAAATGGCTGGCAAGCTTAAAAGTGAGAGTTTTGTGGTGCTGAGAAGAAAACGAGACACCCATTTTAGATTTTCTATGTAATATTTTTGCATTTTCCACTTACGAACTGGATTTGGGTCCCTAACCCCATCATAAGTCGGGGAATATGTGTGTGTGTGTGTGTGTGTGTGTGTGTGTGTGTATAAATAAATAAATATATAAATAATTTTTGGATTGACTGTACACTCAATACTATATATTGCAGAGACTTTTTCAAAGTACAGTACAAACCAGTCTTCCAATTGTTATACATATGCTGCGTGGCGACCTGTGGTGTAACGGTCAGCATGTTTGCCTCGCAAGCAGGCAGACCCAGGTTCAATCCCCGGGCAGTTTCTTTATGCCATTTGCCTCTATCTACCCAGCAGTAATTAGGAACCTGGATGTTAATCGATTTGCGGATCGTGTTCCGGGGTAATGGTTAGCCGGTATAGTTGGCGAGTTGCCCGGTCTTCTTGGACAATCCCTTGACATTGGGTCATGCAACTCGTTAACTTAGGGTGTGGTTGTTGTGTTGGCGACAGCTTCTACACCTTCAAAGAAATTCTCGCCTAAGTGACCCCTGGGCCGGCCATCCTCATTACACGAGGGGCAACCATTATATACTATAGCCGTTGGTATACACTTTGGTATAGTGGATGAACATAATTAACAATCACTTGCCAAGTCAAACTTAAAATCCAAGAAGTGGACAATAATTAAAATTTCACAACCGAAAAAGTATTTTCTTGCTGTTGCACCAAAACAGTAAAGCTACACGTGATAAAAACAAATAAATGTTAACTGTACATTAATGGGAAAGAGAAAGGGAGACAGATGGAGAAACAAGACTAAGGGGCTATTTTGAATGTGTTCATTGCCTTTCACTTCCAAAATTATTAATGCAAATATTTTAATTGCAAAATTAAAACAATAAAAATAAAAAACTAAACATTATTAGTTAGTGATTGTATGTTAACCAATATTAAGAATAACACCTTGCCCAAGTGTAGACTGTGCACATTACTGTACAGTATATTGTCTAACAAGAATTTCACCATGAAGAATATACAAGAAAGTAGACACCAATGATACATAACATTCATTTAACTAAACAACCAAATTTGCCAATCTTACTATACAGTATAGCTAACAGTGCTAAAGCAAAAGACAACATGAATATCAAATAAGCTCCATAATTATGTTTAAAACCTACCCCTGGGACCACCACGTCCCCTTGGACCGGGACCACTACCCATGGGACACTCCCTAGCAAAGTGTCCCATGCGGTTGCATTTGTAGCACTTAGAGCCTGACATGACACCTCAGGCAATGGAGACTCCTCAAACTCTCCTCCTCACACGCTCCTCCTCCACCCTACTTGTTTTGCAGAATCTGGAAGGTACAATATTCCATCACCCTTTTTATACATTTTGGTTTTCCAGATGGTCAAATGTGTAGTAGTAAATGACAATATCCAAGTGAGATAAACTGTACTGTATAGGGCAAGACAAAAACTGCACCCAGTACAGTAAAAGGCGACAACTGATGAAATACTACGAGTGCACGTCTGAAGCATAGAACAAGGCCATAGAGAGAGACCTTGTTACTGTACAGTATCTTCACTACCAGAGAATACCTTAATGTGTAACACCTGTAGAATGGCAAGGAAAAAATGCCAAGCCTATGAGTGTTACAAATTTTAAGGTATCAGTAGCTACAATCTCCAGTACAGTGTATATACAGTATAGGAACAAATCAATGAGATGCAGGTGTATCATGAAGTTTGTTTAAAAAAGAGCACTACAATATCTGGCAAGTACCACGGCAAACTCAAAGGTGTACAGGTACTTAATGCCCGAGTGTTCTTCCTCAATCAATCATGCCTATGGAGCAACTGTCCAGGAATAAATCACCAAGTACTGTACAGTATTGTATTAATGCACATAAAAAAAAAAAAAAAAATCATGTAAAATTTATTATCAACCAATTCTCTTAAGCTTTACTTAAGGCAAAAGAAAGCAATATCTTTCAGCTTCTCATCTAAAATCAAATTTTTACCAAAATAAAAAAAAATAAAAAATAGTTGAGAACTGCAGTGTCAGGGAATTTCATTAATTCCCATATTTGATCATACACTCATGCAAACATTCATTCAGACTTACTGAAGTCTTCATGTCTATAATGTATCCCAAAATTTAAACGTCAACATGAATGTTAGAAGAAATATTTGAGGACGTGCCAAGGTGTACACACAACACCCTGGTAAATAATGTACACACAGGTGCCAAGGTGTACACACAACACCCTGGTAAATAATGTACACACAGGTGCCAAGGTGTACACACACACATGGCAACACCAATTGCCTTCTAAATGCAAGGTGTGCCCTATAGACATACAGTACTGTACAGTATTTCTAACCACCAAAAAAATATCAGCATGGTTGTAAATTACCAAACCTTTCAGTACCAGTGGGGGATTGAAACATTACTGTCCTACAACACTGTACCAACTGACTGTACTGTACATGTCTTACTTACTTTATTATCTTTTAATATTTCAGCAATTGTGTAAAGAATAAACCAAAACAGCAAACTGAAGAGATAATGTTGGTCAGTCACCGAAGCCTATTATAAGAGTATTTCCCATTAATTATATCATTACAGTATTCACTATCCAAATAATTGATAAATGGATGGCTTTCAAGATGAAAATAACTCATTCAGATATTAAGGAACACCTGAACAGTACTTATTATTGGTGTATAATCCCTGTGTAAACTAAAACTATTTATTAAACAACTTTTGTACCATTTTACGATTTTTTTAAGGGATTTTTCTCAGCACACATTTTGATTTACAAAATGTTTCAGAACAGAACCCTTTTGTAAATCCGGGAATACAGTACCCTGTCTAGAAAAACATTCTTATGGCACCACTTTTTAACAAATTTACTCAGTATGAGTCTGAGCAACTGCTTCCTGGACTGCGGGTGTTCAGATTTAAGTTTCTCATTTCATAACGAAATAGCATGGTGGTGGCCTGCAGACTTCTGCCGTGCCCACTCGTGCTGTCCACTACTGAAGTCTTGGGAAACTAAGTTTTCATTGACTGTCTTTGTTTGATACTATATACAGGTGCTATTTATTAAACTTTTAAAAATGTATTAAATAAAATAGACTGGTGTTCACCAAATAAAATAGTACAGTACTGGTATTAATGGTGGTGTCACCGTAGTTAAAGGGTTAAAGATAATATACGTACTTGCTTCGGCAGTACATATACTAAAAATACTGTATTATGTTTAAAGGTTTCTTTACATTAAGAGGTCACAGCCTCAAATTAAAGGCAGAAATTGTGAGTTTTGAACTATTATGCAATAAAATAATAACTTGCCAGAGAATGTTGTGAACTACAGTACATGTATTATAATAACCTGCATCAGCACCAAAGGTATATTATACAGGTTGGACCTTGCTAATCCGAGACTCAATAGTCCGGGATGGTGTCATAGCTCACCTAGTGGCTGTTGCTACTACAGTATTTTACCTTTAAATACTTATAATTTACCCCTAAATATGCCTCCTAAGAGACCATTATACATTTGTTTTTCAATTCCACTGTAATTTATGTATATATAAAAAAATAAATAAGTAAAAATAATAAATAAATAAAAATAATAAATATTGAAGTGATAACCGTGGTAACACTATGAGATGTTCTTATTACCACCATGCTATTGTACTATTCCAGATGATACTAAATGTTACATAATACTGTACTTCCTTAAGATAAATGTATAGTATATATCAGGTCCCTAAAAGAGAGCCCAGGTTCTCAACTGGCTCAGCCATGTTAATAATGTTATTATTATCTGGCTAAATAAACTGTTTCAATTCAAATGAAGGTGATTTAGCACCAGCACCGAGCAGTGAGATGATTGCAGGCATATTAACAATGTTTTTGTTTTCGTCTTTTAATAAATTATCTTAAGTGTTTTTTATTTCTTATCTCAAGCAACAATTATTTTCGTGTATACAGTATATTACTTTTAACCTCTTTACCACTGATCGAAAATGGATAATAGCGACACAATTGAATCACATTGATTTTAAGTAGTTTTCAGTCTTCGCCTGTGAGATGTTATCTGCGCATCAAGCATGCACAATGTTGGCTGACCAATGAGGTATCGATATTATCATGCAAATTTTTTTTCAACCAATCACATTTGGCAGCCTGGGTACGATTTTAATTTCATTAACCACTTTTACAATGGCTGTGGTGGAGGTCGATTGTCGTTTGTGCTCCAACGACTATTTTAAGTTTATTGACGAGTTTTACGAGAAAGACGATTATTCTATCCAATTCTTACGTATCCCTGGCCCTTCCACTTCTAAGGTATTGTACTTTCGGACATGGCGCGCCCCCCAAGTTTTCAACTACCGAAACATTTAGGTTAGGTTAAGCTAGGCCTACAGGGGGTCTGGGGGCGGTAAGGTTAGGCCTTCAGGAGGTCTGGGGGCATAGCCCCTGCTAGGAGTTAGGTTAGGTTTTGTTAGGACAGATGACTAGTTTTCTCCCCCACCCATAAACCCCAATTTCCCATTATTGTTGGGGGAGGAGGCTAAAACTAGCATTTTCTGCCAAAAAGGTGAGATTCGTTTAAAACACACCAAAAGACACTGGAAAAACACATTGGTCAACCGCTTGAGACTCATGTCAAGTAAAAATTTACTAACGTTTTTATTTTCGTCTTTAATAAATTGTCTTATTGAGATGCTTGCATGATCCAATGTATTGTAGATGATTGCAAGCGTATTAAATTTTTTTTTTTTATTTTCGTCTTAAATAAATTGTCTTGTGTTTTTCTACTATTTTTCTATCCCAAGCAACAGTTATTATCATGACGAAACGGTGACGAAACGGGTAAAGCAGTGGTTATGAAACGAGTTAAAAATAGTGAAGAAACGGGTTGGTGACGATATGGACAGACCCCAAATCCGACAATGAACCAGAACCAGGCCAATAAGGGAAGACATAAGCAATTCCATCATATGGCGAGTTAGGTTTGGTCATCCAAAAAAAGGAGAATGAAATGACTTATCCCGGGCATTAGGAACCTTGAGTACAGAAACAGGTTAAAGCAGCTTAATTTGCATTCCCTTGAGACAGAGTGAGGGGTGATATGATAAGAGGTGTATAAATGGAAGTCAGGGCTGAACAAGGGACATTTCCAAGGTACTCAAACTACCCAACCAGGAGCGAAATAGTAACAATGGTTTTAAATTAGACAAATTTAGATTTAGGCGGGAAATAGGTAAAGATTGGTTTGGTAATAGAGTAGTGGATGAATGGAACAAGTTACCAAATATCACCATTAACTGGAACACGCTGGATGTGCAATAGGGGTTGGGTGTTAACGGGACAGCCCAGTATGAACTAATAGGCCCACTACAGTTTCCTCCATTCTTATGTTCTTACATTATATTCGCTTGGCCATGATTTTTGTCGGTAAATGCCCCACCCAAACCCAGATAGCTAAAACAAATACACAAACACAGGCAATTTCAGACGGATATGAAGGTCAAACACACTAAACAAGACATAGTTTTGACTTTGTATCAGAGTTGTGTGCACTAAGGCTGTACAGTAAGGGTGTGTAAAGACATCTTCCCAGTTAAGGCCTAACACTACACCTCTGGCTGTAATAGTGTCACTACCACAATACCACAACATAAGTCAGTTTAAAAGAAGAAGATAACTGGTGTACAATACTTACTGTGTATAAAGAGGAGGTCACAACCACGTTACCTTCATCACTGTATATTTTGCGCCTCCATTTATCCACCACCACACACATGGAGGAACAATATACAAACATTACACTAATACACTTGCCATCACTAATCCAATTATCCACATGGCCCACACACCGCCAACTAACCATTCATTTACCGCATAATTGCTTACATTACTTATAAATAACACTTGTGATGTTCCTCACCTGTTATTAAGAGTTAGGTGTCACAGTCAGGCTACTGGAGGTACTGTTGGGTGACTGTGTGAGGGCGGCCACTGCACACGGCACCACCACCCGCTGCTGCACACGACACGCTAACAAGACGCCGCCACCTCCTGTTCGATTTCCTTCACTATACACAAGATGCGATGTTACAAAATTAATATTGTATCAGGTTTAAATTATAGAATAATTAATGTAAGGCGTTAGAAGTAGTCTATGTACATATTAGTTCACCAAAACATGTACAACATTATTATTGTATCAGATTTAAATTATAGAATAATTAATGTAAGGCGTTAGAAGTAGTCTATGTACATATTAGTTCACCAAAACATGTATTTAGAGGACAGACTGTTAACGATATCCGTGTGAGAAGTAGTATAATAAAAAAAATCTGATAAGTGACTGACTTTAAATCAATATTTGATAATCAAAATATTAAGGATTTGTATGATAGGTGGGAGTGACAATGTCAGTCAGTAGCAGTACGAACATGTCGCTCCCGGGTCATTCAGGACGAACTGGCGCGCGGGTCCCGACCAGTGTTGCCCGAGTAAATATACTCCACTTCCTACTTCTCTCTCTTACTCTTAACTCAAGTGTCTTTACACTATAAGAGTTAAAGAAATAAGTGTTATTCTAAGTGATAATCTAATTCCCGATAAAGAAAACCTGAAATATCATTTTCAGCCAACTGGTACGTCAAAACTTCAGCAAAGATTGAGGCGGTTTACTTTTATTCTACTGTACAGTACTTTTATCCTCTTCACCACTGATCAGCTCGTTAGCCGCTTGGGCGGTCGGTCACGTCTCTGTTATGCACTGTTGGCAAGTACTGGGCATGCACCGACTCCTGAATGTACCTGAACCTGCTCCAGTGTTGGTCAAGTCTTCTCTTGAAAGAGCTCACACTCGGTGCCGTCACAACACTCTCTGGTAGATTGTTCCAAGAGTTTACAACCCTCACTCCGAAAAAGTTTGCCCTCACAGTTTTCTGGACTTGCGGCTTCTTCAATCTTGAGCTGTGACCCCTTGTGGGGCGAGCGTCCGCCAGCTCCAAGTAAGGACACTCAACTGAGTAGTGCCCCCTGAGATGCTTATACACCTCAACTAGGTCCCCCCTTGCCCGTCTATGGTATAAGCTAGGCAAGTTCAGGCGCTCAAGTCTCTCAGGGTAGCTGAGGTGCCGAAGTGCAGGCACCAGTCTGGTGGCCCGCCTTTGAACATTTTCAACCAACTGACAGTCCCTAGCATATCTCGGGGACCAGATGGGGTGACAGTACTGCAGATGGGGAAGCACTTCACTCTTGAAGATCGTCTAGATATCTGAACGACCTTCTTATAAGACCCAATAATTTATTTTCGTGATTTACCTTCTTCTCGCAATGGCCAGAGAACTTCAGCTCATTGTCAGCATACACACTTAGGTCCTTCTCACATTGTCTCAAATAGTGTAGTTTCTTCACCCCGTTGGGACATATGATACGCCTCCTTACCGTTGGTACGCCCCAGGTGCATCCTCTTACATTTCGTGACATTGAATCTCAGCAGACATTTCTTCGACCATTCCTGGAGCCCACAGAGGTCCTTCTGCAGCTCTTCACAGTCCGCTTGGTTCTTGATTTCCCGAAATAACTTGGCGTCATCAGCAAACATTTGTATGGAGGAGTGTACAACGTCAGGCATGTCATTTATGAAACCAACAAACAACAGCGTGCCCAATACACTGCCCTGTGGTACCCCACTTATGACAGGTACGGATGATGATTTCGTACCATTAATCACCACACACTGCTTGCGGTAGGAAGTCTTCTATCCATGCTAGGACATTTCCCCGAATTCCGTACCCTTCCAGTTTGATTTTCAGCCTTTCGTGTGGTACACTGTCGAAAGCTTTGGCAAAATCTAGGTAAATATTGTCGATATTACCAGCCCGTTCCAGAATATGGGTCCAAATATCCAATACCTTGAGCAAGTGTGTTTAAATATCGTACTTTTTACGTTTACTTTAATCCTCTTCACCACTCATCGGCTCGTTAGCCGCTTGGACGATCGGTTACGTTGTGGGGTACGGGATATTGGTTCACACTCAGGATGAGATGGAGAAAGGAAACTCACAATGTGCTCTCTGTTTACATACTGTATTGGATGTACAGTGCAGCTTGGTGCTGGGAAGGCAGCATGGTTATAAGCGTTGAGTAGAGAGAGCTGGTTGGTGAGGGTGCTCAGAGGACCAGCTTGTGGGTCGCCATGGTCGCCGGCTGGAGCGGGAGCCGCCAAGCAGGAGCGGAGGAGGAGGTGTTGCTTGCTGGTGGCTGTAGGTAGAAAGAGGTAGGTCACCACAAGGAGAGGTCTTATATAGCAGGGGTAGGCGTGGCTTAATAGTTGACCTCAGTCATGTAAGGCGGCGCTGGTTGCTGACCTAGACCACGAGGTCGGCTAGTCAGCGACAACGGTGGTTGTAGGGAAGGAATCCACTACAACGTCTCTGTTACACACTGTTGGCAAGTACTGGGCATGCACCAGCTCCTGAATATCCTGGACCCACTAGCGTAGCTAGGGGGCGGGGACGATCCGCCCGGGCGGCACTTTTGGGTCTGCTCATCACCCATATCTGCAGCTACTGGAGACGTTAATCCATCCCTTTGTATCGGCGGCAAGTTAATCCTTGTCGTGTCTGACCTAACACCTGACCCACATCATCACGGCCACGTCATGAGCTACACCCTTGCTATGCGCCCCCCGCCACACACACAACCTGTAACCTGTTGAGGATTAAGGAAACAACTTCAAACAAGTACGCCAGTGAGCTCATGTGGTGTGGGTCAGGTGTTAGGTCAGACACGACGAGGATTAACTTGCCGAAAATTGCGTAAATTCAACAAAAAAAGGTAGAAAAATACACTTACTTTGAGGTGTGTATGTAGAAGGCTCCTGGATGATGATGATGATGGGAATTAGAATGGGGGTGGAGAAGAAGGGAGAAGAGAAGGCATTGGGGTGGAAGAGAAGTCACCCCATGGTGCCATTTTACCCATAAAATTTTAGTTCTCTTGGTGTAATTCAAGATTATTTTCTTTAAATCAACACTGCACTGCATTATATATTGTCAATATGTAAAATAATTTTCAAAATGACCAATAATTTGCTTGGAAACACAAAAAAAGCGTTTAGTTGAAGAGAGTCTCAAGCAAGATGTTACCTCCACTGAAAAGACAGAGAGACTGACGCCTGTTTGGTGTGTTGAGAGGCTGGATGGCGCGCATAAAACTAGTTTCATTACCTTCTATTATGTTCAATAATTGTTAAAATGACTAAAAAATTTATTATTAAACTTTTAAAATTATTGAATACAGCTGTAGTATTAACTTCTTGATATTTACTAAAATAGTAAGGAATTTAAGCCCTAAAACCGATTACTGTATTGGCGGACTAATACTACAGCTGGTGGACCGCCAATGCAAGCGAAAACATGTTGAGGTCGGCTTGTAAGAAACTCGTTAATCGAGGGATTGCTCGTTAACCGAAGTTAAGAATCTTATGGAAGGTAACTCGTTAACCGAGGCGCTCGTTAACCGAGGGACCACTGTAATCTAACTTCAGTAGCATTTGGAAATTCATGGCTATCCCCAGGGACAATATCATGGGATGCCATTCGGACTGGCAGACTCGACACTCACTTACTTAACAAGTGTTATAACAATAAAGACAGTTAAAGCTTTCAACATCACTCACAAAGGATCTTGAATGCTTTAACTGTAATCAGACATATCGAAGTTGACTCAAAACAATGGTGTTCTCTCTCATATTCAAATTCACTTTATAGAGAGGTTGGTTTCAGGAAGTCAGAGAAAATGGACGGCACCCTTGTAATGACCACGGTCGTACACGTCAGTTAACGTAAAATCAGACTATTCATATTACGCTCAATAGCCCACAAACATGTAGCTATGCCTTCTTTGTTGAGTCTCCCATCTGAGGCGTCCGTTTTCTCATCGCTACCAAACCAGAGTTATTATATTTTATATGGTGATGTTCAGGTGTCTGGGACTATACAGTCAGTTCTGCTATAACGCGATAGTTGTGTTCTTGTAAAATATCGTGTTATAGAAAATCGCGTTATAGAAATAACAGGGCTTATGGAGAAAATAGGGTTAGGTGCAGATTACTACTCGAAATCGAAAAAAATTAGTAGTTAGCCTAACACAAAGGATAGCACAGTCTAAATAAATGTTACATTCATATCTAATAATGAAATCATACAGTAAATGCAACACTTTACCTTGAAAAAATATGAATATAACTTGATGGGGGAGAAGGGTAATTTTGAGGTTGATAACATCGAGCTTCTCTTCAAGTGTTATAGCCTTTCTTTAACGATCATCACCGGGAATGCGATCACCAGAACGCTTCTTGGAGATATTCTTCTTTACCATATTCACAGTTAATACCACAAAATTGGAGAAATAGTAAGCAAAAATCGCGTTACAGCAAACAAGCGTTCGCGTTATACAAATATCGTTCCTCTATTCATAAATCGCGTTATCAAAACACGCGTTATAGCAGAACTCACTGTAGTTCTACACAAGAAAATTAAGAAAATAAGACCCTGGTTGTAGCTGCAGTAGAATTAATGTAAAAAAATTAATATATACAGGGAATGTTTTAAGGAATGTCATTTAATGTTAATAAATGGAACAATAGAGGTAGCTAACCACTAATGGTAAAGAAATAAAGTGAGACGATTGGGAACGCCAACGTATGAACAATAAGTGCGTACATGTGAAAACATATCGTCATTTCTCTACATAAGAATATGAAAGCAACACTTATTTACTCTTCATATATGTTTTAAATAATATTTATGACTGTAAAACAAAAATTTTACTCACCAATTGTGGTAAAGTCTAAAACATAAAGACAGCCATTGATGCCGTGTGAGTTTTTACTCGGATGACGACGTCATCAGGTTCAACTCTGGCTGAAGCTGTAGCTTTCCATAAAGCTGTTGTTGAAGCTGCTTATGATGCTGAAGTTAATGGTATAGCTGAAGTTGGTTTAGGCCTTCGAATAATAAAGCTGTTGAAAAACCTTGCACAGTTGCTTTCTTTTGTCATTATACATCTTTATGTAGAGGTCATTTGTGTTGTTTATTTTAATCTTAAGGCTTTGTTCTGTTAATGGATCCACTTCAGAAAATATGTTCATTGCTTGCTCCATATAATATCGACAGACCTCTAACCTTTTTCATATCGTTTTAACACATCTAGTTTTTCGACTAAGCTTATACACTTTCTATTAGCTTTTGAAACAACACTACCATCATTTACTTTCTTGCTCATGTTGAATAGGGATGTAAAACATGCCGTAAGAAACGTGAAAGTTTTCTCCTTTTCCTGTGCAGGTGTGAAAACAAAGGGCCCGCCAGCTGAGATTGTTTATACTAACAAGCCCGGTAGCCTCCGTGCACAAGGCATTTTTTTTTTTATAATACATACCAGGATTTAGTTATTTATATGAAAATGTATAATTTTTTCTACTTTCGTTGTAAATACGAAGAAAGTAATAGCATAAATTGAATTGGGTCCTAAATTAACCAGGGTCTTAAATATGAATCGTCGTGAGTAGAACCGTCATTATCGGAGGTCTTACAGCACAGAACATATTTAACTTTAATGAGTTTTACATTAACGATTCATCACAATAACGACAGTAATGAAATGCGACACCTCAACACATTAATGATACATTTCAACACAATAACGATCAATAGTACAAGTTGATAGTCACTCTGGCGACCATCTTGATAACGTCGATGAGCGGGGCGATTTGTTTTGATCAGAGCGTGTGAACAGGTGTAACTTACCTGTGGCTGTGTGGTGTAACCTGTGGTGTCAACATTCAGGAGGGCGATGACAGCACTGTTGATGAAGACTTACCTGTGTGTGATCTGTTAAATGATTTACCTCAAGACTTCACAGGCTTTGAGACTGAAGGATCAGTTGGTGGCGTAGCAGCTTTACCAAAACGTACTGCTTGAGTATTGTTCTCACAATGTGTGTTACGTATGTCACAAGAGAACAGGTACGTCTGCACCTAATAATGGCCACACGTAAACTGAGTGCAGCGCGGCTGGACGTGACAGTAATAACAATGATCTGCAAGATATGAAAGATATCTTTTTTTAAAGTTAAATAATTCTTTCCAAGATTTGTGTTGTTACTCAGATTGTGGAGGCTGTACAGTAGTTTAGTTAACGCATTACAAATTCATCCCGATTCCCATCATTTTTAAATCATCATTCCATAACAATTAGACAAAAGTTATTACACCTTCTTTCATCAAAACTTTTAATCATGATATAAGAAAAACAAACAAATTACATTGACTCCACATGATTTATTCCATAAAAATGGTATAGAAAGAACTTCTGTAATTCAACTAAAACACAGTGGAAGGAGCTCAAGGCTCTGTGAAAATACTATGTAAGTGGTGTCCTACTGTACTAGCAAACTATAAAGTGTGTGTATATACATATAACTTTATTATACACTGTGTATGTTAATACACAAGCTGCAATAAACAATGTTGTGTATGATGATCACTTTCACCAACACGTAATGAAATGGAAGATATTTTGTGATAGGGTACAGTATGAACAGTCAGGCTCAAAGGTTTGCTCCCTCCTAAACTGAAGCAGTATTGAGCCCAAATGAGATAAAACGGCACACCTGCACCAGACTACAGTCAGGGCAAGTCAGTTCGGAGGTTCATTCCAGTGACTCGGTTTCACCGTGGGAGCAAACTTTCATCTGCGACAAAACATAAATTTGTCAATATTTAACTTTAACTGTGGGGAGAGAACTTCACTGAACTTGATGAAATATAGCAAGTGCATTGTTTAAATATCTTGTCTATTTCCATTACTGTAATAGTTACCAGTAAAACACCTCAAGTACTGTACTGTACACTCTTCATATAATTAAGTCATACTAGTTCATGGAAGAAAGAAATACTGGACATGGATAATTATCAGGTACCACTGCATATTTCCATCAATCACCTGTTATATAACACATCACAAAGGGATCAACATGCTTACCAGAGACTAACACACCAGCATTATGTTTGATGGTTAAAATCTTTATTGGAAGTAAAAACTTAGTATAGTTGTTATACTTGATAAACACTGAGTATTTCCCCATGTTGGATATACACTGAACACCCAGCTGATATAACACAACTAGGGAACACTCCAGGTCTCACACACACTGCCGTGTTCATCACACAATCTACATCACCTCAAGTGTTTATTCAGTACATGTATTCACTACCAATATGTCTAGTTATTTTAGAAGGTGAATAATAATAATACAACCAATACTTATCAATGCATATAACAACTCTCAACATCAATAGTCTTATTTACTATAAGTTTACCTCTATACTGTACTATACTATCAAGTCTTTACCAAGCGTAGATAAAGCTAATATTGAAGATACTCTTAATCAGTATTTACAACAAAATAACAAATGAAATATTAAACAAAATAAAGTAAAGAGGACACATCATATTATGCATCATACACTTCCATTACCTTTTATTAACAAGTAAATAAATAGTGATACACAACACATACTGTACTTTATAAACCTTTCAACAATGTTGTCTTTCATGCTAATGCAATAACAATCTCCAATATGGATTTTAATAATGACTATCACCTTTCACAAGATAAGTGATGTACAAGTATCTGTAATTCTTATTTAATAAGTTCATATTGATTTGTTTGGCCCAAATAATTTTATGAAGAAAAGATGACGTGTGTGGTCCAAAAATTACCGGTATACTGCAATATTAGATCCGTCAGTCATAATGTAATCCAGAATACAGGATTATCCACATGACCTGAAATAGAATGAATATATTAAACCAAGCAAATACTGTACAGTATTAAATCTGGTTAAATTCATTAATCAGTTGTCTAAGTGTACAAGTAGCCAAATGGAGCCATCATGTACAGTATCACTCAAAGTTAATAAATAATGATGTTAGGAAGGCATCTCCTTATCACTTACCGTCACCCTGTTGTAAGCTGATTTGCTGAAAACTCTCTCCAGGAACAATACTGAATGAGTACCTTCTGATACAGATTATTGTTTTATTTCCAAGTTAAAATACAAATTTAATGACTCTTTTCTATTGAAGATGTCTTAGTTCTCATATGATGGAGTACCTCTCATTAGGCCTTCAGCAAATCTAATTAGACCACTGCACAGCATTCACTGACCAAGTGTTGTTCTTTTCAGAAGAATTTTCTTTAATTTTATTAATTTTTTAAAAAAGTTCATGTAAATGAGTGTAGGTAGTGAGGTGAGATGCACTGATACATGTATGTACGAAGGAAGGGCTCGACTGAGATATGTGCAGTACAACACCCATGCACAGATGTTCAACCACACTTACAAACACACAAACTTTCCAAACCTATGCTTTATTTTTCCAGACCTTTAAAAATATTTCTGGTGAATGGTAGTGCAGTCCAGAGCACGTCAGATTCCAAAAAGCAAATTCCAATGTACAGCTAAACTACTTAACAACAATTGAGGGCTTTGTCAAGGGGGGCTCAGCATGCTGGGATCTCAACAGTCAATCACCGAGGCCATAACCTTTACTTAGTAACTTTAGTTAAACTGTTTGATAATTACATATCTTTCCACAGTACTTCTTTTAAGAAGTTGTGTAAATTATATTTGATATTTCCTTGGAGTAAAAAAATACATGATGTACATTATAAAACTATTGGAGATTATCTTGTATAAAGTTACATACAGTAAATGTTGCATCGTACACACATTTAACTTTACGTGCTTGGCCTTGGGGAAAAAAGAACGAAGCAGTGAGTGCAGGAGCATATGGCTGGAGGAGATACTTCCACCCTCAGCTTCAGTTGCCGAGTGTACTGAGCAGGGGAGGGGGTGCGCCTCTGTCGGTCAGCACATCCCACCCGGGCTGCGATGTAATATGTGCACTATCATGTATAACTTCAGCTTTTTTATACTTTCATTATTTTTCCTAAATACTCTCTGCTAAAAACAACTTGACAAAGAGGATAAAGTAAACCTACAGCAGAGGTGATTGTGTAGTGCACATTTAAACTGAAATAGGCCTAACCAGTCGAGTTGCCAGGTGCGCTATTGACAAACTGCCCACTGCTTCCACACTTACTACCACGACCCACAGAGAATACACACCCATGCTCTTCACATTTCTTATTTTATAGCTTTATAGTACAGGTAAACCTCGATATAGGATATCCCATTCGACGATATTTCACTTTAACAATGGTCTTAAACTAAGACCATCTCGCTATATACAATAAAAAAATTCACTTTAACAATATCCATCGAATAGTCATTGATATTTTTCTATGTTAAGTCGGTGACATTTTATAAGAAAACAATACTTAACCCTATGCATCTTTACCTTCACTTCCAAGCCTACCCACGCACCACGGCCGAGTTTGGTTCTTCGTCGATCATAAACCCGTCACTGCAAGGCTCCACGAATACTAGCCAGCATCTTACATTGTACTTTGCATCTTTTTTTTCTTGTACCGTGAGAGGACAGACTAAGATTTAGATTGAACTATGTTACGGTGACTGTGAAGTTACTTTGTTTGGAAGTGTGCCATATATTCCAATTGGTAAAAGTTGTTAGAGTAAACTATGTTTCATCTCTTTTCAATTGAACTGAGTACAATAAATATTAAATATTTCGTTAAATAAAAGTGGTTTAAATGAGGACAGGAAGAAACATGTTACCTCTAAAGAAAAATATATATATTTATAACACAAACAGAAGGAAAAAATTTTTTCCACCAACTCGCCCACACTGTTGAGGTTGATCCAGCCCCATATGTTTACGGTCACGCGGCCGCTCATGGCTTCTTGATAAACACGCTGCCGGCCATAACGGGTGTTATCGGGTCTCCAGCAATGAAGACGGCTGTGGTTGTCCAGAAGTCCTGGTCGTCCCCCACATAATGATCAGTAAACTATAGTCTCCCAACCTGGTGTTGTTCTTGTAGCCTTTCCCTAACAGCAGAGACCCTGTGGTGGATCCCACTTCCATGGAGTCATCACTTAAGTGTACTAGCAAAGACCTCCAAGCGCAGCCACTCCTTCGTGCCCACCATATTGGTGAAAGGATGGTTGAGAATGTCTGCCACAATCCTCGCGTCATCTGCTGTGCTGGTCAGTCCAGGCCAGTGGTTCTTAACCGGGGGGGAGGGGATGCCCCCGAGTAATTTCCAAGGTGTGCGCGAACCCAGAGCCAAAATAAGGAATGGCCTAAACAGGTGTGTATCATCTTCATGGGGGCCTCGCTCACCACAGATACTTCAAAATGTCATAAATGTTAACTACGTCAATCAAAATGTAAAATTCCACTAAAATTGACTGAATTAAGGTAGTAATAATGTTGGGAAGTGTACGATAATTTTGAGGCTCCAGTATGATGATTCACATTTGAAAATTTGTCAACACTGACTGCAGCAGTTTCAAGTGCCAGTCGCCCGCGACAACTTTCTCAATTTTCCTATTTAATTCAAGAGGAAATTGTTTTTTAATTCTTAAATTTAGAATTTTATATGAAGGAAGGAGTGGAGATGAGGACCAACTGCTATAGGGGGCATGACCCTAAAAAGGTTAAGAACCAATGGTCTAGGCCATCCTGATCTGGGAAGACCTGTTGAATTACCAGACTCTTCATACCACTGTGTTGTCGATCTCGAGACTCCCATCTGTCTTGCAATCTCGCCGATACATAACCCAGCATTACACATTGACCTCTCTGGCACAGGACTGTATTTTAAGGGATTTTTAAGGGTAATTTTGACTATACGTGATTTTGGCTTTACACGCCCTCTTCAGAATGTAACCCCCGCGTAGGATGCGACACGACTGTACAACAATAATAATATCCAGTAATGTATACACAATAAGCCTTACCAAAAAACCAGCAAATGAAGTGACAAAACCTTCTTTGGTAAGTTCCCACATTCCTCCAAACTCTTCTTCATCAATACCTTGGAAGCTTGATGCATAGAAGTATATAAGGGCTGCATTAATAACACAAAACCTGCAAACAAAATTAGAGAATAATATTTGTTGAAAAATTAAATTAGTGCAGTACATTATAATATCTGTCAAAAGGAAGGATTGATCCTGAAATCCTGCTTTCTGTGTGAGCCTAAAACCAAGTAGCTTCCTATACTATACCTGCCAAAATTTGGAGTTTGACAGCACATTTTACCTCCTGGGTTACAGCCACTGCTCTCTGAAGATGGAGACTAAAATTAAAAGAGGCAGCATTTACAATTAGGGTTGAGCCTTACACCAATGTTATGGGCTGTCATCCTTGACTCCGAAGTCAATCTACTCATTTATTCTGCCACTTAGTTACAAGCTTAGCTAGAAAGCAAGATTTCAGAGCCTATCCAGCATTTCTAACGTGACTCCTTTGCCAAGCTGCTGCTCATCAGAGAAAGCCGACTAGAATAATGGAAGAATGAGGTACAGTACTGTCCTAACCATAACACATCCTCACATAAAACATAAGCTTTTGTCTCCACCATCAGTGTTGTCATCAATGTTCCAAATAAAATTAATCTCTTTACCAAGAATTTGGTAAAATTATGAATTTGATGTTGATTAGTGGAATATACTGTACAATGTATCACAAAGAACACTGTATCAACCCACGCTGATATACTGTAGAGAATTACAGCACTACCACAACTCTAAAGCAGTATTTTCTAGATTTAACAAATTAATTTGAGCCACCCCTTTCCGTTAAATCGAAATGTCTGCTAAATCGAAATTCCGTTATTTTCGCTCGATTTAACGAACTAGTTTGCTAAATCTAGTGTGATTCCATTAAATTCAGTGCCAAATGCGCTGTTTGGCGCGTGGGGTTTGTTTACATCCGGTCAGTCTGTGTCCTGCCGCCACCGTGTGTGTTGCTCACTGCTACCTCTCGGTCAACTGACTACTGTGCTTAGCCATCATGCTGAAAGTCTCTCCGAAGTCTCAGAAAGGAAGTGGTGGGGGAAGAGTCAAAAGCGTACAGCTATCAATTGGAAAAAAGTTTGGAAATTATAGAAAAAATTTAAAACAAACACCGAACGCTCTAGTTTATGGTAAGCTACGAATAATGTTTCTATATACATATCACGTGTCTGAGGTGTCTCCGTAGGTGTGAGCATATTAACGGAATTTATCTCGATTTAGCAAACTAGTTCACTAAATCGAGTGAAAATTAACGGAAAAATTTCCTTCCGCTAAATCGAGAGTTCATTATATCGGATCCCATTATATCGAGAGTATACTGTACTTTACAAGATGTTGCACAGCTTGTACTGTATATACCATTGAAGTCCACTTGATATATTTCATTACTACTGTATAACTTGACAAGTTACTTCACGGCCCTACACTTACCACTCACATCTGCGCTGCACACTAGAATTCAATGATAAGAGAAGATTACATTAGGGATTAGTAACCCTCCCTTACCAACTTAGAGAGCACTTAAAACTCCCATGTAAAATTGAGTTGGAGACAGGAAGGCCCTCCAGCCATAAAACTTGTTTTAACTTTGCTTATTGGCAACCACTACTATACAGTACACCAAGCCATCAGGTAATTACAGTTACTACATGTAAGTGTAGAAAATGGCCATAAAACAGTGATGCTGATCTCACTAAACTGCATGTCACAATTGGTTATAAAACATATGCACTGCTTTAGCTAAACAGTTACAAGAATATTTGAGGTAGAAGTACTTAACTGTATGAGTATTCTGCACCTGGGGAGCACATAGAACACAACTTTTGTCTGATTCATTTGTAGTGAAACTATAAGAAGCTGTAAGTGTGACAAATTGGAAATAATTTCAGACCAAAACTGCTCTCATTATACTGTAGTGTATAACCCAAATCTATTTAACTGATGTACAGACCCCCCTCAAGTTTCCTGGTGAAGAACCGAAGTGACCTTATGAATACTCTTCGAGGAGACAGCGTGTGGGGGACTCGTGTCCAAACCTTTGAATACCGTATACCAGTCAAACCACACCAGGTGCATTAAAAACCTGTGGGGCTTAACTTGGGGCGTGCACACCACGAAGGGCACGCATCCCCTGAAGGGGCATTTCAATTTTCCATGAGGCACAAAAACCGTGAAACTGGAGCTGCTGAGAAAATTAGTTCTTTGGTGATCAAGGTGGCAGCATGGAATCATGGTTAGCTCCACACAAGCTAGAACAACAGCACTAAATGCTCTCTCTCTCTCTCTCACAAAAGGACCAGATATCTATAACTGGATTAAAAAAAAACAATTTAGACACAAGAGGCTAATTTATTTACTGAGTTAGCTCATGACACTGTACAGTACTTTAGTGTCAACAGCATTGGGCCATACCAAAACTCTTGACTTAAAAAACAGAGGATAGCCGTCTCAACTTAAGAAATACTGACAATGTGACAAAGCTGTAAACTGGTCTTCACAAATGCCAAAGCAAATACAAATTCACTTATCTAATCCCAGCTAGAGTTGCTATATGCAGGAGAGATACATTCACACACATCAGTGAGGTGGCTGGGACCTAAGTGGGTTGTTACTGTTGTCCCAAGTTACAACCAGACTGGTGAGAGGAGCGATGAACATGGGACAATAACCTGCTTTACATGGCATCTCCTCTTTCTGAGAAAACCTTTTTTAAGGTCTCTTGTGGCAGGGAAAATATAAATATAAAATAACTTGATTAGTCCTTATTGCTATTGTAAAGCGATTAAGAGTTCTAACCCTACACATACAGTAGAGCACTCGGCTGGTTGTACAACTGTGTTAACACATGGGTAAACTGGGCTGCAGCTAATATACCCTCCTCAGGCTCACAGAGGTCACCACTCCACAGTGACTGAACAGTAAAGATTGCAGGTAATCTTATTAATGTTTAATAAAAGAAGAAAAAAATTGATTGGGAAAAGCCTGGCAAAAATTGGCAATTTCTCAATCTAAAATCAGCATTTTTCCCTGAGAGGATGTTTGGCAGCCCTGACTACAAGCCCTGGAGCAATCATTACCAGTCTGCAGCTGAACACCAACCAAAACATTACTATTAGACATGATTAAAGTAAATAGGGTGTTTTACATTCTTGAGTTTGTTCCTTGAAATTTCATAAAAACTGTTTGGCTATACTGTACCTAAACTGTATAGCACTGATATATCATACAGCTATGGTACAAAGCATAAACCTATGATTAATTAAACTTGTAAAAAAACAAGCATGATGTTAAATTTGATATGTTACATTACCAAGTTTTAGTCATGAATTTATTAAGCGAACATTTGAATTTTAGTGTTTGATTTGTACAGTTAATTGTGTAATTTGAAAATATAAATCTGATATATAATCTGCTGGGGTTTGGAAACACTGAAAAGTGAAGGTCATTGAAATTCCCAGAATTCTCTTAAATTACTTGTATTAATAGTATAGTTAGTTAGTTAAGGATGAAGACTTAACATGTTATAATAAAGAAAATATAAAATGCTAAATGTACAGCCATAGTAAAAAGTTTGCTCCCTCCCAAACTGAAGTTTCACTGACCCCAAATACTGTAGACAAACAACACACCCGCACCAACTATGGTACTCTCGGAGGGCAAGCTGGCAATCCTTGCAAGAATTCTCGACTTTCCTCGAGATGTATGTTGCTTCTCCACTCGGGATGCCTCGGTATGTGCTGACAGCATTGCTGGGGTTATACAGGGCGGTATGAGTGCATTTATACTATCTTCTACCAAAACTTTCACTTTACAATCATGGTTTGATCGCTCCTGTTCTCTTGCATGCAGGGAGAGAGATAGGGCGTATCAAGTTATGAAACTATCTCCTTCTCCTATTGCCCGCTCCTCATTCATTACTTCTAGGAATCGCTGTAAGGCTATTCTTCGAAGGGAGAAGCGGAATTTTATAAAAAGAAAGACCGCTGTCCTGACTGACTCTTCTAGTAAGTCCTTCTGGTCCTTAACCAAAACATTTGTAATAACTTCTGCACTCCCTCTATTCCTCCTCTCTTCCGACCTGATAACTCTATAGCCAACTCTCCCCCTGATAAAGCCAATCTCTTTGGCACCTTATTCTCCTCTAACTCAATCTTAGACGATTCAAACTCTATCCCTCCTACTCCTGCTACTGAACCTATGCACTTTCCTAAAATCTCCACTCGCAGGGTTGCTGGTGTGTTATCCAGGTTGGATGTGAGTAAGGCACATGGAACCGGACGGAATAACCCCTCGTGTTCTGAAGTTCTGGCCCCTGTGCTTGCTCGCCTCTTTCGCCTTGGCCCTCTACATCTCCAAAACATTTGACAGGGTGTGGCACAAGTATTTACTTTCTAAACTTCCCTCTTATGGTTTTCTCCCCAAATTTGTTCTCTAATTTCTAGCTTCCTTGAGAACCGATCCATGGTAGTTGTCGAGATTGATCTCTCGCTTTTTCTTTATATTTTTAATTTCTTTTTACCTGTACTCTTATTTTTTCGCCGCCCCCAGGCCCCGTTGTGGGTCGATGACCTGTGCCCGGGTGGGCTAATTCCCATAAAAAAAAAAGTCAGTTCAGAGACTCATTCCTGTGACTCAATTTCACCACTGGGAGTAAACCTTTGACCACGACTGTACAAATATAATCTCATTTGGCAAAAACAAAAAAGTTATTAAGTGATATGACCGAGATACTGTACTACAGTTAACTAGCTGCTCTATACAAATAAACTTAAAACTAGATAAAAAGTGATTAATGTTATCAATATATACTGCAACTACCTTTTTAATAGCAACCTAAGTTACCAATATGTACAGTAGGTACAGTATACCCGTACATATTAATAACAATTGTCAACTTACAGAAAGAGACCAATGAAGCCTTTGAGTGGGATGAAGCCCCACACCAGCCCCAACACGATTCCCAGCACTTGTCGACCCCAGTATATCACATCCAAGAACTCATCCTGTCAATAATTACTGGAGTCAGTCATCTTTTTGCATCCTGTCAATATTTACTGGTCATTCATATTTGTTAAAACAGTACAGTACAAGTATTACATTTATCAACAATTAACCCTTTAAATGGCAAAATATTCCTTAGATATTTTATTCTGGCTAACACCAAATGATTTTCGGCTGAAGGGAGCCCCTGCCCCTGCCTGCTAGGGGGTTAATAAGCTTCTTGATCCTGAAACACCTGGAGGACAAATGAAGGATTACACTTGAAATTCCACTCTATGACCAAGGCCAGAACTATATGCTTTGAGTACAGTATAGTATAATTATATGAGTACAAGAATTGCCACAGTTAATATTAACAATCAGTTAATTTCCCAAATCCTTTTAGTAACAATAGCCCCAAAAAAGGGTAATTAGAAGCCAAGGATTTATACTTCTCACACAAAAAGAGAGGAGACCAAGCCTCAACTTGACAGAAATAACAGTACAGTACATCACCAGTTGCTCGTGGAGAAGGTAATGTTAATAGTATTCCTTGTGAACCTGAATGTTTCACAGGGACAAAAATATATATATGGAGAGATGAATGACCATCTAAGACATTAGACTGTTGCAGGTGTAAGCTTGTGCAGTAGTTACCCTCGCCTATTATACAGAAAACAACACAAACTAAACTATCCGGCTGGATAATCTGGGCCGAATTTTCTAAACTATCCGGCAAATGCAATATCTACCCGAATACATAAAAAAATTCACTACTCAGTGTTTTGAAAAAGGGAACATAAGAGACATTACAATACTATACATATTAGTTTAATTTTACAAATTCAACAATTCTGTTCAAAAAAGAAAACTAAATTCTCTTAAACCTGTGACTCCAAAGAAACTACTACCAAAAATACAAAATTATTGTTTCGGTCATGCAACTAATTTCAAGTTGTTCAAAACACACCAATAACCATAATTTCAACCTAACCTAACTCATTATCCTAAAATTCAATGCATGACAGAAACGATAATACCAGATTCGTTTAAGTTCGAAAATGAAATTTCATTCTGTACTTCCATTTATATAGAGAAAGCAAAAAATACTTTATTCTCTTAAGTTTGTGGCACAAAATTATATTTGGTAAAGGTGTAGAAGAGGGTGACCGCCAGAAGGAATTGTCCGAATTGGTTGAAATTAATTCTACACTTAATATCATGATATAAAACACAAAAATGGAAACCACAATGACCTAACATACCCGACCTCACTGTTCAGTCCCCAAAACTTCTTCTTCCATCAATAGTTCATTAACGGTGTATGTAAGTTCCACCGTGTGTTTCACTACAACGATACAGCAAAGTATATTTTTTTAGCATTAAACTGTTATTATTTTACTGTCTAATCATCACTACATATAACACCACTCATCATCACTACATATAACACCACCCATCATCACTACAGATAGGTAAAGTAGTTATATTAATATCATGTATAGTAATAACACAATACTTCTCCAGTAGTCTGTATACATATGTAATTACTGTTTGTGTAAAATAATAACTTACAATTTATCTCTAATACCATTGACTGTTAGTGGTGACGAAACGGAATTGATATTGGTGACGAAATGGATCCCCCCCCTATCATGTTAGGGGTAGAAGGGGGGGGGATAACTAAAAAAAAAAAAATAGGCAATATCAAGGTCAGAACCAATTAAAACTACACTAAACAACACATAGTTTTGACTTTGTGAGAACTAGTATAAATTTCCCCGTGCTTTAGGGTAGAGAGAAGACACTATACTCACTTTGTCTGGCCATTGGGAGTTGCTGGTAAAAGCTCTATTTAATACTGAACCAAGACACTGACTTTTACCTACACCATTTCTCTCATGGGTGGCTTTTGTCTTGGTTGTCATAATTATTACTTAATGTTTAATAGTTTATAGAGACTAGTGGTATTCAGCCAGCTGTGGTAGAGTGTGGTAGTGTGGTGGAGGCCTGCTAAGTACTACCAGCAGTCTCAGTAAACCCTTCCCACGTACACATGTCTAGCTACTCTCATTTAATTACGGCCACAGATGTTTTATTTATTCATTTACTTATTTATTTTCTCTATTTAATTTATTTCATTCATTCCGTACAACAGCCGGAGATAAAGAAGGTAGTTTTCTTCTAATTATTCTCCATAAACTTCTATGTTCTCCTGCCAGTGTTTGCTGCTCCGGCTACACAAAATACTACATATTATTTTATTTATTATTTCAAACTATTATAAAAAAAATCGACCAACTATAAATAATAGGTTGTAAAATTAAGGATACAATGAGAATAAAATCACTTCTAAATCAATTAGATGATAAAACCAGGACCTCAATGTTTAACAGTTATTAAACACCTCGAACAATATAGGATGGAGGTAAGGAGGGAAATTCACAATGGAGTTTTCTATATATATATATGCTGATAATCACAAGGAAACACTAAGTTCCCAAGCACTTTCGTGTAATTCACATCTTGAGGGGTGAGTACAGACTAAAATAGAAGTGCAGAACAAGTTATATATATATACAGAGGAGGGTGAGAACAAGTCCACAGAGGTCAAGTATAGGTAATGACCCTACTAATCATAATAAGAAGATTTGTAACCAGGTGAGAAGGTTGGGTCAGTTTTCCCTCTGACCTGACTACCGACCGCTGCGGTGCTTTTGTAGAGGTAGGTCACCACGAGGTCAAGTCTTATATAGCGGAGGTAGGCGTGGCTTAATAGTTGACCTCCGTCATGTAAGGCGGCACTGGTTGACCTAGGGGAGGAATCCACTACCTGTAACTGAGGGAACACCTTCCAACACGTTTAATATTTTCAATTTGCATCTGGGCGGTGTGGACTGTGTAGTTGCTAGCAATATGACTTACTTTCTTGCTGCTATTCAGTTTATAAATGACAGGCAATGGGAACGATACAGATAGATGAATACTTATCATTTTGTTTAATTATGCACAGTAAATATACCATTGAGAGTTCTCACCAAATCCAAATTCGTCTATATGAAAAATAAATATAATTAAAAATTTCCTTGGAGAGCAAGACAGCCCTTGGGAGGGGCAAGCCAGGTCTTGGGGTGGGGGGGCAAGCCAGGTCTTGCAGGGGGGGGGGCAAGTTCCCCTTCAGCAACCCCCCCTCAAAAAAAAAATGACGCCCCTGTCCAAGAGGACATTACTCGGTCGAATGTCCATACCTGGAGCTGGAGGACGCCCACCCCATAAGGGGTCACAGCTTTGGGTTGAAGAAGCCATAAGTCCAGAAAACTGTGAAGGCAAACTTTTTGGAGTGAGAATTATAAACTCTTGGAGCTATATGCCAGTGGGTGTTGTGACGGCACCGAGTGTGAGCCCTTCAAGACCAGACTTGACCAACACTTTTTTTTTTACTTTTCACTTTTATCCTCTTCGCCACTGATCGGCTCGTTAGCCACCCGGGCGATCGGTCACGTCTCTGTCACGCACTGTTGGCAAGTACTGGGCATGCACCGGCTCCTGAATGTACCTGAACCCGCTCCAGTGTTGGTCAAGTCTGGTCTTGAAAGAGCTCACACTCGGTGCCGTCACAACACTCTCTGGTAGATTGTTCCAAGAGTTTACAACCCTCACTCCGAAAAAGTTTGCCCTCACGGTTTTCTGGACTTGCGGCTTCTTCAATCTTGAGCTGTGACCCCTTGTGGGGCGAGCGTCCGCCAGCTCCAAGTAAGGACACTCAACTGAGTAGTGCCCCTTGAGATGCTTATACCTCAACTAGGTCCCCCCTTGCCCGTCTGTAGTATAAGCTAGGCAAGTTCAGGCGCTCCAATCTCTCAGGGTAGCTGAGATGCCGAAGTGCAGGCACCAGTTTGGCGGCCCTCCTTTGAACATTTTCAACCAACTGACAGTCCCTAGCATATCTCGGGGACCAGATGGGGTGACAGTACTCCAGATGGGGAAGCACTTCACTCCTGAAGATCGTCACGAGGGACGGACCGTCTAGATATCTGAACGACCTTCTTATAAGACCCAATAATTTATTTGCCTGATTTACCTTCTTCTCACAATGGCCCGAGAACTTCAGCTCATTGTCAACATACACACCTAGGTCCTTCTCACACACAGTCTCAACTAGTACATTTTCTTCATCCCGTTGGGACATATGGTACGCCTCCTTACCGTTGGTACGCCCCAGGTGCATCCTCTTACACTTCGTGACATTGAATCTCAGCAGCCATTCCTTCGGCCATTCCTGGAGCCCACAGGGGTCCTTCTGCAGCTCTTCACAGTCCGCTTGGTTCTTAATTTCCCGAAATAACTTGGCGACATCGGCAAACATTTGTATGGAGGAGTGTACAACGTCAGGCATGTCATTTATGAAACAAACAAACAACAGCGGGCCCAATACACTACCCTGTGGTACCCCACTTATGACAGGTACAGATGATGATTTCGTACCATTAATCACCACACACTGCTTGCGGTCGTGTAGGAAGTCTTCTATCCACGCTAGGACATTTCCCCGAATTCCGTACCCTTCCAGTTTGATTTTCAGCCTTTCGTGGGGTACACTGTCGAAAGCCTTGGCAAAATCTAGGTAAATATTGTCGATATTACCACCCCGTTCCATAATATGGGTCCAAATATCCAATACCTTGAGCAAGTGTGTCAAGCAAGAGCGCCCGGCTAGTAATAAGAGGATAAAGAGGATTACCTAGTTTGAAGTTCCCGGTTAACGTTAAGGGGACACAGGGACCGGGGACCAGGGGCGAGGAACGACCCTTCACGTCACCCCAGTTAGTCCACGCGGGGTCTGTTAGGTGTAAGTCTCAATATAACCTCAGTTATTTCTCTCTGATTTAGAACAAGATCCTCATTAATGTTCCTTAAATCCCTAAGAGTGTTTAGTAAATGAAGACTTAAGTAATTCTTGTAGATGAGAAGTATGATTAGTTAGTAATATCCAGTGGGAATTTTTGATCATCTGCGCCGGACTTTTATCAAGGTAGAAATATCTATTAATATTTCTACTGGACACATGGTTGATCTAAGGCAAACTTTAGATGCATAATTAAGTTTTTTTTATTGTTAAGAATCGAATTATGTCTTGGTGATAAGTGTGTTGTATGTGGTTAATGAACTACACCTACGCAGTGGATATTTTACCGTGACTGGCACCTACAAAGGCTATTTTACCGTGAGTGTGCTCTGATTGGCTAAGTACTTTCTGTTTAATATGATGGAGTGTCAATTAGTACACAATTACGAGAAACGTGGATAAGGTTGGTTTTAATATATGAATAGAGTGAATATTGGGTGGCATATAATCAAGTAGTTATGTTAGTCATACTGGTAACATAACTAACTGTATATGAGTTGGCCAATATTCTCACTCTATTCTCGCAGTTTCCTCCATTCTTATGTTCTTATATTCATAGTGTGAAATATGTACTTGTAGTGCAATGTTTGTGTGATGGAATATCAGACTTATGTAATGAGATGTAACTATTTTAAAGCCTGCATTCCATATCCCTATTTCACTGCACTTTCGGTATTATTTTACTTTCAGACATAACGCTCCCGAAGTTATAAACTACATCCCTATTCTGAGCATTTTGAACCCCATATATACCAGGCGGAAATGGATAATGGCGACACAATTTAATTTAATTGATTTTAAGTAGTTTTCAGTCTTCGTCTGTGAGGAGATGTTATCTGTGCATCACGCATGTGCAATATTGACTAGTGTCATCCATTCGTGGCCAATGAGGTATTGATATCATCACTCGGATTTTTTTCTACCAATTGCATTTGATTTTTTTCAAAGGAAACAGCCTGGGTACGAGTTTAATTTCATTGACCACTTTCATAATGACCGTGGTGGAGGTTGGTTGTCGTTTGTGCTCCTACGACTATTTAAAGTTTATTGACGAGTTTTACGAGAAACACGATTATTCTATCCAATTCTTACGTATCCCTGGCCCTTCCACTTTTGATAGGTTTGATTTGCCTGTTTAAAAGATTTTGACAGATTATTTCTTGGGAAGAAACCCCGCTGGAAAACCCAAGTGAGAAAACTACAATTGATGGGGTGAATGTGTGCTAATCTGAGGTAGAGATCAGCCTTTCTTGTACCCCTGTATTCAAAAAGTTTTAACTGCCGAAAGTGGTATCTTTGTTAGCCGGAACAATTGGTGCAGAGCGCTTCTGGGATTGAGATATTTCTGGGTAACGAGACGACTCTTAAAGCTGGGAGAAAAATCCCCCATCGCCGGAATTATCCGGGTACATGGAAAATTTTCTCGGAATTTTCCAGAAAATGTGCCCCTCAGAAAATTTCAATTCCGACTATCAGAGGGTTCCGGTTAAGAGGGTTCTGGTAAAGAGGGGTTCCGGCTAATGGAGATATTACTTGCCTAGTTACTGTGAATTTAAGGTTAACGTAATTCATATTAACTTTTTACGTCCAGTATCATCTGTCTGTCACCTGGTAGTGACTAAAAACACTGAATTCAATAATCCTAGAATGTTCCATTTCAATTTACTGAGGGTAGATCCCTTGCCTTCCCATAAGTCCTTTACTGTATAGTATTGGAAGTTAATGACTTTGGTAGCTATTAATATTACAAACTTTGAATTTACTTAGATTAAAAAAGTAAATACTGTAGGTATTAAAATAATTTTTTTATTCTTCAGAACACCAAAAATGGCTTTAGAACTTGCTCACGAAAACATCTGGTTTGACAAGTGGCGTGCTGATGATGCAGAGCGACAGTTTTATGAGAACAAGGCTCAGGTGGGTGTTGTAGTGCCTTATATATAATTTGAATTATTGTATGTATAAACATTAGGTCATATGTTGATGTTCTAACCAGTTATTTAGCTGGCCCCAGATCCAATTCTACCATTGCACTACAGTGGTCCCTCAGTTAACGAGCACAATCCATTCTAGAAGGTTGCTCGTTAACCGAAACCATTGTTTCAATGGGTATTTGGGTAATTGGTTCCAGCTCACCGAAAATTGCCTAAATTCAACAAAAAAGGTAGAAAAGTACACTTACTTTGAGGTGTGTTTGTAGAAGGCTCCTGGATGATGATGATGATGATGGGAATTAGAATGGGGGTGGAGGAAAAGGGAGAAGAGAAGGCATTGGGGTGGAAGAGAAGTCACCTCATGGTGCCATTTCACCCATAAATTTTAGTTCTCTTGGTGTAATTCAAGATTATTTTCTTTAAATCAACACTGCACTGCATTACATATTGTCAATATGTAAAATAAATTTCAAAATGACCACTAATTTGCTTGGAAACACAGAAAAAAAAAAGCATTTAGTTGAAGAGAGTCTCAAGCAAGATGTTACCTCCACTGAAAAGACAGAGACAAAGACTGGGGACGCTGTGACGCTCCGCGAGTGAAAGCGTAGCACGCCAGATGAGAGAGAATGATGCGCCTTACAAAGTAATCCGTGACGACATTATACCGAATCGGCGGGAAGTTGTCCGAATCATGGGTGTCTAAAGAGTAGTGACGTTATAAGGAAACAACGTTGTTGGGGGCAACGTTGAATGAGGACTTACTGTACCTGTAGTGGGAGTGTGTATAGTGAGACTGCCTGTGCTGTTACAGTATTTAACTTGCCTGTGCTGTTACAGTATTTAACTATTGTGGAGCAAGATTTTATTGAGTGTGTACATTGGACACCTGAGTAGCTCAGCATTGTCTCCAAAATAATGTATTTTGCCTGAAGGGATGTAGAGAGGTCATTAATAATTGGATAAAGAAGAAAGTAGGAGCAAGAAATGAGCCTGGAGGCACAGCAACATTGGTGGGAAATTAGTTGAGTTTAAACTATCCACAGCAGAATGGATGTTGCAGTTACTGAGAAACCAAAATTAAAGAATTGGAAACTAATTGGAGAAAGTTTGGTAAGGAGGTAACATGGGCAACAAGGTAAGATTTGTTAAAGTTGATATATAAGCCAAGTTAGTTTTCTGTTTTGAAATAAAAGCATTTGTGGAACTGACTTAATCTCTCTTGAGGATGAATCTGCTGATAACATATACTGCATGAATATTTCCTTCATATCTGTAAATTGCTGTAAAAGTATTTGTCAAATTATACTGGTACTGTATCCCTTAAAACAACCCACGGCATTGGTAAATCTGGCAAACAAGCTAGAGCCTCTTTTTAATTATTTTATAATTAAATAAAATTCTAGATAGAGTACTTGTGTGTTACTGTAGCATTTACTAATTACCATCTTGTTATTTATCAGGTACTGTACTGTTTTAACTAAAGAATGTTTGTGATACAGAAATTACTCTTTAATGTTATGTTACATGTTAGCTAAAGAGTATCCCTCCCATTTTTATATAGCCTGCCATAGGATCACCCTGTGTGAGGCAACCTTGCACAGGTAGGCCAGTAGGGGTAGTTTCCAAGGTAAGGTTGAAAGACATTCTCTAACTTTAGTTTGTAAACTGAATTATTTGTTTATTGACTAACACTTGGGAATACAGAAAATATAGTTGAGTTGGATTCATTAATTCAACACACACACACATCCCACTGCTTGTTTGAGTGACCTTGGTCTTTGTGGCCCCCCCATTTTTTTTTTTTTTTTTTTTTTATAGTGGTGGTCAAAGACCGTCTGAGTGCCCGGGCGGTTCAAATGTTGGGGTAAAAACAAAGACAAAAAAGTCTTATGAATATCGAGTTAGGAAGAAAATGAAAAAGTACTCAGATACCAGCTTAGTGTACATTAAGCTCCTCAACTTTAATTTTAAGGTTGGTTTTCTATGTTTATGTTGATTAACTAATAAATTATTCTCTTTCAGCAATAAAATATAGGTTTATGTGGGTAAAATAGGAAAAAATGAGACTTTAGGTGTGGCCCCTTGGTACTAATTAGGCTTTTTCCCATTGGATTAAGACCTCTGGTTTGGCGAAGTTTTTTCAACGCTAATTATTCGCCAAACTGGAGGGTTTACTGTACTGTATTGTGTGTGTATACAGTACCTTGACTTCAGTGGGTACATGATAATTACATTGACATTCATAAAATATTGATACTGTAGATATTGCTAACCTTTCGCTCAACACAATGAGGTGAATGTCTAGGGCAGAAGCAGGGTGCTTCAGATGTTCAATTTTACTTACCACAAAAAATTCAATCATCATAAGAGGCTTACAGTTCCTTAAACAAAATAATTACACTGGACTTACTCTGCAGACTTAAACACTGTAATACTATATTTTCAGCTTACTTTACATTCATTCATGAAATGATGCTGTCTGTAGCTCAGAACAACATGTGCTCTATTTGAATTTATTCCTATTTGTACAATTTATATGGTTAAGTTTTGTCCCAAGTTTTTTAAAATTCAAATTGTTGCAGATTATAGTTGATTTGTATGGGATAGAGGGAAGCATTATTTAACACTGTTGTACAAAGAGAAGTTTGTACAGCCTTTTAATTTGATGTATGATTGTGTTTTAAGAAGCATTTGGCACCTGAAGTGTTCATGTAGGTGGGTATGGAGACAGTACATGCTGTACAGTTATACAGTATGTACAGTATTTTATGATAGTTTTGTTATGTAATTTGGCAATGATGCAATTGCTTTTCTTCTGTAGATTTCAGTATAATTAAGGTTTTGTGTGCAAAGGGAATCAAATAATGATACTTCACTGTTTTAGAGGAATATCTTGTTTTCTTTTATTCCGGTGATGACTTTCTTTTGCATGATTAAAGGCCCATCCATACTGAATGTAATCTACCCACACGGGCAGATTTTTGTTTATGTGCTCCGAGAGTGGACGTGTTCTAAAATTATATCGTTGCCTTGATAAATATGTTTTTTATTGATATATTTTAGGACGAGGAAGATATAAACCAAAGAGTGTGGGTTCACGAAACACTGAAAAAAAGAAACATTCACTCCCACAGGCACCTCACTGTGAACAGAGTCATTTGATAACTAGAGAAGCTGTCATTTTGCTCCCCATACAGGCAGATCACATCCAGTGAGGATGAGTGTTTGTGCTGGCATATTTATATTTTGTTGTGTAGTTGCTGGTGTCTTCAAGAAAAAACCCAGGGGATTTATAATGGGCTGGCTGTTACAACTCCTCTCCTACAGTATTTCTAGTATTCCTTCACTGACCTATCAACCATCCTATCTCTTCCTCATTTGATGTAATACATTAGTTTAAATCACTAACATTGCAGTCCCTGACCCACCAGTCCCTGCCACCTCTGCCATTATCCCCTCCAAATCATCTGAGAAAGATCACCGTGTAATCTAATTATACTGTAGATTGTATATTCAGTGGGGAAATAGTGTTGAACATTTAAAGATAATTTTTATTGCTTGACTTAACCATGGATCTCTTGTTAATTTTTAAAATGAACCAGGTTTGCAGCTCATAATCTATAGATAAAAAATTCAATTGCATTTATTCTTAAGCTTTTATCTCGATTCCTTAGTGTGGGGAGGATAATGAAGGTGAAGTATTAGCAGACGACCATCAACACATGGTATCCTCTTGTGTGGAAACAGTACAAGTTTCTACCATTAATATACCTCAAGAGTGTGAACCATCACACATCATATGCTCTCAAGAGGAACAGAGTGAGGTTGTCAGATGAAAGGCATGATCAAGGCTCATTTTAACCGGTGTCACATTGCTACTTGATGTGGAAGCTTGTGCATTTTGTGATCGTGTTTTTGTGTGTCGATTAAACCAACGAGTCCATTAATACTAGCTGCAATTGACACACCCTTCATTTGTTAAATATATTGGGTTTTTTGTTAAATTCTGAAATAGGATATTATTATAAAAAATAAAAATAAAGTTTGAAAGGATATAAAGTGAATTTGTCCATCTGCCTGTCTGTGTCAAATTTGGTTTTCGCTCGATAGTTCAGCTCAGTTCCAATGGTTTGAATTCAACTTTGATACGAAGTATTTGATGGTAATTTCTGTCTTGGGATTATAGGCCACGTTGCTAACCAAAGTGATCCGTGGGGTCAAGCCATATTTGGTAGTTATGTGGTTTCTCAAATTTCAATTTCTTTCATTTCACTTATTAAAATGAGCCTAGATATTTGATGGTGTGAACGGAGTGTAATAACTCACAATGGTATACCAATGAACTAACATTAATTGATTTTTTCTTTTAATATTGTTTATTTAGTTTTGTTGTTTACAGATTGTCTGGTGATAGATTGTTCATTGATGTCATTTTGTTTAAATTTGATTTATATACTTGACAAATTTAAACAATGATCTTTTGAATGTTTAACACACTTCTCACATTACCAGTACAGTATATATTGCTATCATGTACAAAACTTGACATTTTTAAAGCCCTTTTACAATCTAGACTTAATTCTTCTATACTGTATTACTGTAAATCTTCTTTGTAAGCTAGGGAGTGGAGAAATCTATACTTCTTAAGGAGGTGTCTGTCAATTTAAACTCATAATTGGAATATGACATTTATTTATCGTACAAAAATCGTAAGCTGTACCTTTAGACATGATCACTGTTGGTATAAATAATATGATGAGATCCATGTGTGTTAATAATGTGTGATTCATTAATGGTTAAACCTGTATGAGTTATTAAGCTTTCCAAGACAAGATGGACATACATGATACATTGGATCCCAAGTAAGTATAATAGGCAGGTCATTTTAGCTGGACTGTTGAACATTGGTTGGCCCCTTGAGGTATACACTGTTAGTACCATACTAAAGTTGAGGTCTCCATCAACATTACCAGTTAGTTTTAGTCTGACATGTTTCACACATAATTATATCCTAGGAATTTTTTATTTTATGTATATATATATATATATATATATATATATATATATATATATATATATATATATATATATATATATATATATATATATATATATATATATATATATATATACAGTATATTTTTTTTATTGTTGAAATTTTCATTTGTGTGGCACAATGGATGTTCAGGGTTCTCAAAATGTGTCTGAAACTTCAGTGTCTAATCTTTAATTGTGTTGTCTATGTAATTCTTGGCTAAAATTTGGTTTGCATAATATAAAGCATGTATGTGAACACCACAGACATTGTACAGTTATGTAAGTCATGTCCCGATAAACATGTACTAACCCCCCCCCCTCCTGCCCCTAATGGCAGGCTTTTGACTCTCCAGTTGCCCCAGTGGTACAGCTTGGCACCTCTTATATTTTTAAAGGGTCTCTTATTTCAAGTGTTTTTGAGAACCCTGGATGCTGATGGTTTAAAAAAAAAATTCACTGGTGTGCAGTGGTTTAAGCTGTGTGTAGTTGATTTTCTTTCTCTCCATAAATCTTCTTAACTGATGGTACTCTAGAAGGAATGCTATATTTAGTTAGTTATGTTATTGTGAGGTGAATGATACTAACTTACCTTCAGTTTTGCCTTTCTACATGATTTGCAGAAATGACTTTCTCACTAACCCCCCATATTTTTCCTTGCTGTTTTTCTCTCTCCGTCACATACTACCCACACTCTTGAGGGTTTTGGCGAGGAAAGATGAGTGAGACACGTGGATTGATGCCAAATTCAAGTGTTAGCAACTTTCAGTTCATATTTACAATATTTCATTATTTTATTAATTTACAAACAACATTACAGGTACATTTCAAGATACAAAATTTTTAATATTGCCGTATAACTGTACAAAAGCACTCCACAGGACAACCCTCCATGGGATCCCTGTATATTATTATGTTATGTAATCATGTACAGTGCTGTACTCATCAAAATTTCACAATCGAGAAATTATATTAGCTTTGATTTATATTAATATGAGTACAATATGGAAGAGGATTTTGGAGGGAAAAGCTGGACAGACACTAAGGCCTCAACTGTGAAGGGAGGATAGAGAATACAGTACAGTGGTCCCTCTAATAACGAACTCAATTATTTCCTCGATTCGTTCGTTAACCGAAAATTTCGTTAACTGAATCTATTATTTCAATGGGATATTGGGGAATTGGTTCCAACTCACAATAATAGTATACATACAAAGTACTGTATACCGGTAATAGAATTAACAAAATATTAAATATAGACTAAATACAGTACTGTACTGTACAGTATACTGTATAATAATAAATAAAAAACAATAGATTACTATATTTTAACTTACTTTGAGGTGTGTATGTCGTATTACCGGCAGCTTTGTTTACATATCAAACAGCTGATTGTAGAGGCGGGTGATGATGACATGCCATATTCTTTACAGAGTGCATTGGTTCTAATGCCTTCTTCATGTTTCATAATATTTTCTGTACAGTACTGTATATTATCAATATGTGAACTAAATTTCAGAATGACCAATAATTTTAATGTAAAATGCAAAAATATTCAAGAGACCAACAAATTGGATGTTCACTCCACTGTAAACAAAGTTAAGCTGAGAAGCGTTGTTGGGTGATACAATCAGCTGATGGGCACACAAAAACTGTTCCCTGTACTGTATATATTATCAATATGTTAACTAACTTTTAGAATGACCAACAATTTTATATAAAAAATGCAAAAATATTCAAGAGCACAACTTTCTTGATATTTACTCCACTGGAAACGAATATAAACATAGAACCGATTACTGTATTGTCGGACTAGCCGATCAACTGATGCACACAACAAAGCGTGTTTCTCGTAAGGCTGTCGTTAATCTAAGTTTTGTTCATTTATGGGAGCTAATTTGTTAACCGAAATTTCGTTAATTGAACCGTTGGTCAATCAAGGGACCACTGTACTAGTACTTCAGAACTGTGGTAGGAGCAGAAAGGTGGATTACCTGCACAGTATGTGTAGTGTATTTAGGAAAAAACACTGACAGAGACCCTTACTTCTCAGTTTTTAAAGGGAAATTGAATTTAGTTTCTACTGTACATATTGAATACTGATGATTCCAGATTGCTTTGAAGTGTAATTTGAAGAGGGAGGATTTAAATTTGAATAATTTCACATTTACTTGTGTTATATAAACTTGTGCATTTCTCTGTTCTGTACCGTTCATTTTAAGGTGAGCATCATTGACCGGTGAGGTTCATTTTTGGTGGCAAATTGATTGATTCATATTAATTACATAGTGTTGTCATATATATCGCATAGTTTGAGAAAATCTGCATACTGTATATACCTGTCTCTAGAAATGACAAATGCATATAGTAATCCTATTAATTTTTTCAAACAGCCACAAACTAATGCTACATGTATACGTATTTGTTATCTGTAAGAGTCTATTGAAAGGGATCTTGATAAAGGGATTAGATCTTGAGCTGGCTGCCTTTGTCGATAAATTATCCTTGATTTAACCATTATTTTTATGAGTGGATAAAAGCCAACAAAACTCTTGGCCTGCAACCTGCCCTCATATGAAAGGATGGTACGTGTCATAGAACAGGATGGAATTAATGCACTTATTCGTGTGGGTTGTTTTAAGGTCAGTCTACCCAGTATTGCTTATAATCCACAGTACTGTATACTACATTTATATATTTTTATATTTTTATTTTGACCTTTACAGAAACACAGATCAAAATTTTTCAGGCACATTCATCAAATCTTACTTACAACACTAGAATTGCCATTGTGTTGCTAAACTAGTTTATCTAGAGATGGTCTTTCTTGAAAAAAAAATTTAAATAAATTTCCATGTTTTGCAGTTCTTCATCTACTATAATTCTCAAGGTAGGGTGCATTTTTTGCCTCAGGGTAATAGAGGCCACTTTTCATATGCTTTTGCTCTGAAGATCTAACAGTGGTTTCCTGTGTCTCCCAGGGAGGTTCGGGCCTAGGATCCCTGGTCAGTCAGATTGCCAAGGCACGGCAAGAAATACAGAATTCCCTTGTCTCTGTGAGTAGGTCCTCAAAGTGAACTTCTTAATGGTATATCATGTTTCTGTAGGTACATTGTTGCTTTGTGCTGGGTAATGTTGTTTTAGGTCCTTCTGATTATTTTCTTCATCATACTGGAGACCAATAGTAGTTGAGCTCTTTAGGCATTATAAATACACCTGATTCACTTGCTATGGACTGTAATTGCATCAAGCATGTTCACTGTTGCATGAGGGTGAATGCATATTGTTAAAGAGACTAATTTTACCAGCATGAACAGTTTTAGGTCTTGCCTGTTACTGCATGATCTGGGATGTTTTAGGATTACAGATGTTTATAGATGGTGAGTAACACTGGTAGGGGCAGCATAATAAGAGACATGTGAATTTAGGGTAAGATGCTGTAGTGTGTGTGGAAGAGGTGAATGGTGTATCTGGACGAAGAGTGATATGAAAATGGGTTGAGGAGTATCAGTGTACAGTGATTAGGGATGTTTAATTAAACCTTAAATAATAGGGAGTTTTTTAGGTAGACTATTTGCTCTAATGGGGAAAGTTGAGGGTTTTAAAAAATGGGTAAAATTATGAATATTTTCTTGTAAAATTGACAAGTTTCTTTCACTGAATACTGTGGTGTAATATGATTTCTTGTATGCTTAACAAGAGCCATGAACAATGGGTGGGAAGATAGGTGTATCTGACAAAGTGGGAGGAAGGGGGATCAAGACCTTGCCATGTGCTCCATCTTTGAACCTGTATCATTATTGATACATTGTCTGTATTTTCTGGCATGATCAGCCTCTTATTTTATTTATTGCCAGGTCAAATTAGAGCATTGAAATACATGTATTTCAAAAATGGTATTGTTGCGTAATGTAAATAAATACTGTAGCAACCGGCACTCGGCCACAAAATATGAATATTTGACTGCAAAATTGAAAAGCGCTACAGTAGTAATTGAGGTATCCGGAAATTTAAGAATGCGAATATTGCTCCACTTCATAGATGATCACTGTCGCTGCGAACAAAAGGTGTTCATCTATTTACAATTGCTGTTGTTTAAGGGTCAAGTATTTTAACCTAATTTTATTGACACCAGAATTTTCCTCCAGATACCTTTATAGAGTACAGTACAGTACAGCACAGCACAGTACAGTACAGCACAGCACAGCACAGTACAGTACAGTACAGCACAGCACAGTACAGCACAGTACTTCTCATTAAGATAGTGAGGAAATGTAAGAGATAAAAAGTTGAAATTCAATTCAATACCCGAGCAAGGGGTAACTGACCTTTGGACTTGTCATCAACCTCTTTCTTCCTGGTGGGAGATGTGGATGATTGGAAATACAGTATTAGAATGAGGGAAGAGCAATGGAAGGGTTGTACTATACTGGAGGTGTTTTGTAAGTTAGGGACTGTATTGTGGATTAATCATAGTGCTAATAGAAACACACTAGATGACTGGTCTTAGCATATACTGTAAAGTGAATTGGTGTGATGTTTTGTAATCACTAAGAGATATGAGATTATATTTGTATGTAAGTCGAGGCTGTGAGAAGTGTGTTTGTGTGTGGAATGATGCTGTTTGTTTTAACCCTTCCTGTTGCATTCTCTATACCTGTATTGTATATAATATATATATATATTATAATTAAGAAATAAATTCTCAATGTTCTTCTGTGTCATTTCTTCCCCTTTTTAATGTTTCTGATTTGCTTGATCAACTCTATACAAACTGTCTGAGGAATAATGAACAGTGTTGGCCTTCAACTCCATACTGTATGGTAGTTTTTTTGGACGTGCTAATTCTATTATTGTTGCTGCTTGCTTGTGCACTCCAGTTCAGTTTTAATAATACAGTATTTATATATGCACTTGTGAATAATTTTATTGGGGATTATCTGTTCCTTTTTGTCTTAAGTTGTTTTAAATTATTATAATTTATAATGATGATTTTGCCTGCTATTGATTTCTTTATAAAATGTAATTAAGTTTATTAAAGAAGCTTGCTGTAATTATTCTTTATTTTATATCTTCCTTTACTCTTTTGCCACTTATTTTTTTCTTATGTTGATATAAAGTTATTGTGTAGTATTGTCTTATTTCAGTCATCTTGCCTTCTGGTGTTGTTTTTTACTGTACAGAACATGGCAGAGATGAAATATGGAGGTAGTGAATTAATTACCTACATTAATCCCATATTTTCAGACTAATGTTTCTGGTCACTTTCCTGTTGTCAGTTTTTAAAGAACAGATATGTGTTTAATAGTCAGATAGTTCTGGGTTCAAGGCTGGGACATTCCATATATTATAATTGGCTTAAGTTGATGTCTATGTGGACAAGTGTATGTATGAGGAGTGTGATATGGGAGCAGCATATTTGGATGGCATGTTGCTATTACATATAAATGCTTCACTATCAGTTTTGAGTTGATTTTTGTAATCATAGAAACATAGATGTAGTTACAACGTATATAATGTAGGATTGTTACTTTTAAGAACTGCAAGCATAACTTAACAAGCTGTGATTTTCATATTGAGGTGTTTTTTCACTATTACTGCTCATGTTAGTTGAATGAGCATCCTGTATTATTCTGCAAAAGTTTATCTTCAATAATTAGCATAGATTTTAAGAGATGTCATATAATAGTAAATTGGATCTACAGGGTGGTCACTCGGGCTCTGCTGGTGGTAGTGGAGCGAGTTCTGATGTTCTGAACCGCATCACCAAGCTAGAAGGGGAGAATAAAAATCTTTCATCAAGTGAGTACAATATTATTTAACAGTTTTTTTTTAAAGAACTATGTTTACTTAATATCACTTTTTTAAACTAATTTCCTTTTGGAGGGATCTTTAGCCATTTGCAGTGCACAAAAAAATAATGTGTGAGAATTTGAGAAGCAGAGAGAGAGAGAGAGAGAGCACTCGTCTTGACCACGAACATCACAAGGCACTAGTATATTGTCAAATGCAGCTTTTAATGACTACAAGCAAATGTTTATGATCATCCTACAGCAATAATAGCACCACAAGGGTTGACAGAATCTTGCAATAAAAGAAAAAAATGTAGTTGATTTTATTTTGCTAATTCAGTTTTAATACTGGTCCTTGGGAGAAACATGCTAAAGGAAAGCAGTTGGTGGAATATTTCTCACAGTATTGAACAAACACTTAATATATTTTGACAGTTTCATCCATATAAATCCTCAAGTTGTTTGTTTTGATTAGCATGAGTTTGCAGATGTGTACTAGCTGGTAGACAACGACCGCTAAACATTTCCACCATTCATGTGACAAAAGTGAGTTGCCATTAGTTTATCTTGCTTTTATCGTGATTATTCGTGGCGCTCCCATCAGAGTATGCACGAAGCTTACAAACATCCAATCGTGTGAGAAGCCTTTTGAAATTGAATTTTTTGTCCCTTTTTTGGCTTGCATGAGATGGAAAACTATGCTGCATACTACATATCTCTTAGCTACTACTACATGCTATCTTATACTCACCAGTAACTAGGAGAAATTTATAGTGAAGTGGGACATTATGGGCTAAGTAATTTTTATAATTTGTCGAGTTAGGTGAGTCTATATTTGCTCGGGTTGTACTGTCTGCTGTCAGAAATGATATAGCCTGAAATCTCTCCTGATAGCAGACTTTGCTTAGGTGTTGGATAGTATGGGAGAGTGTTGGTTACGGATGTGGTAAGTTGACAAATAAGTTGGTGACATGTTGGGTAGACTATGTATCCAGTATCCTGACAATTGGTAACCCTTTCACTGGCTACATCACTAAGAGCCTGACTCCCTCTCACTGGCTACATCACTAAGAGCCTGACTCCCTCTCACTGGCTACATCACTTAGAGCCTGACTCCCTCTCACTGGCTACATCACTTAGAGCCTGACTCCCTCTCACTGGCTACATCACTTAGAGCCTGACTCCCTCTTGCTGGCTTGTCTCAGGTATGGTCACAAACCAAGTTTTGGTGGACACCGCTGGTGTTGTCAGCCAGCAGGCTGTTGAGATATGGATAATGCAACCAGATTGGGATGACACAATATGTGTGTCATCAGCCAGCAATAGGGCGAGATTTGTCCAACTGTCTAAATGTGAAACGGTTAAGGTAAAAATCCATTTAAAAGGAACCACTACACTAAAAAACTCCACAATACAATCGATTATATATTAAAACTAAAATATTACAGTAATGTTATTCTTTGTCTTCCCCCTCCTCACATTATCTGGCACTACAGAGTAACCTCAGAAATCTGGAAGGTTAGTCCTACCTTTATTGTCATTAGGTAGTGTTACTCTTTGAGTAGGGTGCAATATTGCACAAGCGGCTGTAGCTCAGGCAGTTACTCCTGCTGTCCTTTTCAAGCTTGCTTAAGTGTACAGGAGTTGCCCGATACTGACATTAAGTTAGAGATGGGGGATTGAACCTGAAATCATAGCTTGTAACTGAACCAGGATCAGGTGACCCAAATCCCTTCCCTCTTCTCATTGGGATGGCTTACAGGGATGAAATGGAGGCAATTGATTCTACTTTGTAGTTATGCGTTCAAGTTAAAACGAAACAAGATTAAGGCTTGCATGTGCTTACTTGGCAGCAAAAGCTCTTAGTCTTCTCTCTGTATGAAGAACTTTTATACCAAATTCCTCCATTCAAGTAATGCAGTAAGGATGGGAAGGTTGATCTGTTTTTTTTTATTATTTATTTATTTATTTTTTCTTCAGATATCTTGTCACAGTTTCAGGTCTTGAAAGCAGAGTTTTCAGCTCCGTAGACTTTGTGGTCTGTATAAATTTCCCAGCCTCAGTTCAGTTAGAAAATAGGATTCAGAACAATCCCTCATTTATCTTTTTAACTTGACTTCATTTTCTTCCAGCTGTATCATCCCTGGAGCAGACAATCCTAACTCTAACAAAGCGATTAGAAATGCTTGAATGCGACGACAAGACCACTACAGCACCAACTTCTGCCTCTCCAAAAAAGCCCGTACCAATGGAAACAGAGGATGATGATGATGATGACGACGTTGACTTGTTTGGATCTGATGATGAGGTGAGTAGTGGTTTCCCATAAGAATTATATTAAGTATCATTTTTGCTGCCCCTGAGTACATAATGCTTTTGTTGGAAGTATTGGATTACCCTCATTGACCAAGAGGAAGATTGTTGAAGCTATTAATCTTTTGGAGTGAGGTGTGTGCAAACCTGTGTGTTCCTCAATTTTATACACCTGATTGGGGGCAGGGTTATGTTTTCCAGATCCAAAGGTAAGTGTGGATTGTGTTCTTGACACCAATGGGGGATTCAATATATAAAATTGAGCTTTGAGTAATGAATGTTCCCTTACTGAAGCAACTATCTTGTTTGAAAACCTTGTCCTGCTAGTGGGGTAGTTAATGTTGAATATTTTTTCTAATTATTGAATTCTTATCATGAGATCCTGCACTTGTTCATTGACAGACTCTCATGGCCTGGCCCCCTGGGTCATTTGCTTGTCAAAGTGCCTTTAAATAAGGATTCAGTGATTCAATCCTCATTTAATGAAAATCATAAAAGTTCTGAAATTAATGAAATTGTTGGTGGTTTTAGGTCCGTAATCTTAATGCTGTTTAAATACACAAAAACCTTCTTTATCAACAGGACGATGAAGCAGCAGCACGCGTAAGGGAAGAGCGAATAAAGGCCTATGCAGAGAAGAAAGCCAAGAAACCTGGTCCTATTGCAAAGTCCTCAGTTCTGCTTGATTGCAAACCTTGGGATGACGAGACAGATATGTTTGTCATGGAAACAGAAGTCCGTAAAATTGTGATGGACGGTCTCGTATGGGGTGCTGGTAAGTGAGATTCTTGTTATTCATAATAATATCAGACACTAAAGCAACATGGATGATAAAAGTGGATGTAAAGGATTAAAAAGGAGAAAACTAGTACAGTATCAAATGAGATGACTTAGTTTTCCAGAGAAGTTGTGTAGTCAGCAGTGGATTTATTGGAGGAATGTAAGTAGGCGTCATTTATTGCCCATTACCGTAATTTTTCTTGATTAATTTTCATGAATGATTTTTACCTTTGACACTTGTCACATCTTGTTATTTAAAAAACTTTTTATCCTTTTTGTAATTCTACAGCAAAACTGGTGCCATTAGCTTATGGAATTCAGAAACTTTCCATTCTGTGTACGGTGGAAGATGAAAAGGTCTCCATAGATGATCTAAGTGAGAAGATTCAAGAAATAGAGAACTATGTAAGTAGATGACCAGTGTATGGTTATTTCTGTAAATAAAAAATTATTATTCATCTAATAATCCTATAAATATGAAATACTTTACCCGAGGATTCAAATAGGAATACAAATACAGTAATATCTTTGTTAGCCGGAATCACTCAAACTTGGAACTCTCCGATAGCCGGAATTGAAATTTTCTGGAAAATTCTGAGAAAATCTTTCCGTTACCCGGAAAATTCAGGGGATGAGGGATATTTTTCCGGGTTCGAGAGATAATGTAATGGGCAATTTCTGGAACTTCCAAGAGCATTTTTCCATTACTCGGAAAATTCCGGGGACGAGGGATTTTTTCCAGCTCTGAGAGACTCGTCTCATGACCCCGGATTCGCTCATTCCCGGAGTTGTTCTGCACCAATTGTTCCGGCTAATGGGGACATCACTGCACCATACTTGGATTTCTAATAGTAATGTATTCTAATATGAACACTCCATCCCTGACAGTCACTGGCAGGGATTTCCCAGGTTGATGGTTTAGGTTGAGAGATGTACCAATTGATAGTGCCATCTGTCACTGTTTAGGTTCAAGCTTGGGTTAAAACCTTTAACCCCCTTGTGTATGAACCCCTTTCTGAGTTGAATAAAATGATCTTGCGTTAGCCAAATCAATTATTAAAAGTGGTGTCCGTATTGTGAAGGGGTTTAATCTATGGGTGGCAAGTCTCCTGGCCCCTCCCTGACCAGTTTATGAAGAGGGGTTTCCACGATCAATCCTTAATTTTTATTTATTTTTCCACAGGTTCAGAGTGTTGACATCGCTGCATTCAACAAAGTCTGAAATGCTATTCATTCCAGTGCTAATTGAATAAAGAAGTCAGTTTATATAAGTACGATTGAATTTTTCATCTCCTGTTTTATTATTATTATTATTACGATAGCCCGGTGAGGAGATTAACCTGCCGCGATGCAGTTTATTTGGAGTTGACGTGGCCGGTTAATCTCCTTACCGGGCGATCATAGTCAAACGTGTTACAGGTTTGGCTTGGATCAGACTGCCTCTGGTGTGTTTAGGGCGATCAGTTGCCGGGTACTGCCATGTGTTATCGTCCAGGAGCCTGGGTGAAATTCAAGCCAATTCATCATGTACTGTACACGTCTTGTTCCTCATTAAGACACGAGCCGACTCGCCAGCGTCTCCTCGCCTGTAACAGAACAACGTTAATTCTTATCGCTCCCCATAATTACTTTCACTAATCTTATCACTCATATGATTACCACTGTCAATTATAATATTTGGTACATTTTTACCAAAGTATCTTGCGGACTTCAAAATCATTATGGATCATAACTTTGGGTAAGTGGTTGGAAGAACTTATGCTTTTAAATTTTGAATTTGGTTAAGAAGTGAGAGTATAGAATTATTAGATAAAACAAAAAGGTAGAGTTTTATGGAACCCTAATCTTATGCCAGATGGGATCATGGTTGGTAGATTCAAGCTTTGGATTACAGGAGTAAGGGAGGTTCAAATGATCACGAGTACAGTTGTTGTCTCCTATATGAAATGGGAGATTTTTTATAATTTAAGTGAAGATTATGGTCATTATATGTCGAAATTTGTGCTTCTGTAAGAAATAAAAACGGGATGATGAATAGGAAATGGGTTTACATTAGTATGAATACTTCTGATATTACACATGTATAATAATAGTAGTAGGTGGATGTAGGTTTGGGCAGGATGGTCAGGGATGAATGTTAACCAGTGAGGTCTCTTACAATATAGACGAACATCATTAGTATAGTTTGGTGAAGAAGTGTAATACAAGTAATTTTACTGTTTAACACCCACTGTGAAAATGGCCTCTGGAACTCTTAACTTGAGAAAGCAGTTATCCCATTCAACCATGAGCTGACGTTACTACTGAAATGATGTTCTTGACCGCTAGTTAGACAACCTCCCCACGAACTACCGCCAGGTTAAGGTCTATGTACTGTCAGAAGCAAGTTTTGGTCATTCATAACCAGTACCCTCTGCTTGCATAGCTAATTCTTCCTTAGAACTGAAGGATTCAGAGTACTGTACTGTACTGGGCAACTGGATAGAAAGGGTCAAATACTAAGGTGAAAAGAGAATTTACTTGTTGTGAAGGATATTTGTTAATAACAGTGGAAGAAAAATAGCTACAGGGAGATAATCCACTGTGAAAAATTGATACTTCTCCCATGGTTGTACTTTCAGGAGTGCCTGAGGCTTACAGATCATTACTGTACAGTACTATATTTTGAACCCAGCACAAATAATTACTACTTGTTTACAGTTTTAGCCTCAAGAAGGTATAAGTGACACAGTTATTGCATGGAAACTACCAGTCGATGAATGGACTAATAAATGGATATGGACAGATAAGGTACTTAAACTCTTAAATGGTTACCATCATTAGTGGAAGTTAGGGCCAAATGCAAGAACTGCCGTCGTGTACACGATGCTGTGGTATCCCGATGGTTGCTTTGCAAGAAGCACTCGGTACTTAAAAAAAAAAAAAGTGCGATTCATTATTGGAACGTGGGAGAATTTCGTGGTACTCTCCCCTCCGCCCGATGACCACTACGATGGAACAATATTTTGTAACCAAAAGAAAAGAAATAGAATTGGATGCACATGAATTGTATAAATCTGCAAAGGAATAATATTTTTTATAAGATATCCTTCATATAGAACATCACATGAAGAATTTTATTGTTCTTTTTAAAAGAATTCCATGTTTGTGTGGGAACATCTGCCAGCCTCTACTTATAATACCTAATACTGTACTTTGTTATATTCTACTGACTTGATCCACAGAACAGGCCATAGTTCTCTTTATTACCCTCACCCAACCCCAAGTTGGTGACAAACTTAATACTTTATTGTTAGATTTAATAAGGTCAAAGAAGGAAGGAACAGATATTACACTCTATTCCTATGTCCTTATGGTTGTCACAGGCTTTATTTACCTATATTCACTGTAAGTGATCATATTTCAAACCCAGAATTGGCTTATAATCCAAAAAATAGGAAAATGAGGTGCACCTTAGCTTGGGATTCAAGTTTTTCATGTTGGTAACTCGTGCCACTGCCAAAGTTTTGATGGTCGCAGCATACCAACCTCCTCGTCTTCCGTCAGTTGGTATCATCTGATTACACCACAATGAAGTAGTAACAACACCCGACGGTTGGGAACCACCATGACCCTTCTTGAATAATCGGTAAACTTTACTTCCATCGTATTACAACCACCGGGATACCACAGCATTGTGTACACGATGTCAGTTCTTGCATTTGGCCCTTAGTTTCCCCAGTGGGTAAATTACTTGTGGTGGAGGATGTCGTAACTGTCAAGTAGCAGCTCTTTGGATTGCTGCACAACCTGTACACCTGAGATCGATAGCTGTCCACAGTGAAGCAGCTATGCACGACCAGCAAGATCTTGGACAACAACCAAACATATCTACAGTACAACCCCTCAACAAAACATCTCGCTACAGAACGATACGTATGATGAAGAGTCTTATAAGCATCATGCACCGGAAAATGTATGAAAGCATTTTCACAAGCAGTCATGAAGCAGAAGTGTCATTGCACAGTCTTATAGGGTAATACAGTCTCTGAACTCTAAGGTGAATGCAATTGTAGACGAGACTAATCAACTAACTCGTATTATCCGTGGCTTAACTCGATCAATGCCTACACTAGTAGAATGGTTAGTATGCTTTACAGATTATTTGCATGCAGCCAAAACAACTACCCAAGCTCTCACAGAAACCAATGATATATTCATAGTTGACTTAGTGATTGCAGGTTTGGGTTGTGTAGATGCACAACTTTTGCCAATAGGCCAACTTATTGCCTCTTTAAATATAGCTAAATCTGACTGTCATCTAACCCCCATCGTTCAGGAGCAGGAGGTGAAATTTTATTGCCCCTTGTTAGAAGCATCCTTAATGCACAAGGAAATACTAATACACATTCCACTAAAATAAGAGAAGAAATTTAATGCATGGCACTTGGAACCATTTTCAATGAAAGCAAATGCCAATCATCTGGTTGTTAACTAACACACACAATTGATTTTAGTTTCAAAAGAGTTTTCACTAGTTAGGGTAACTAAGCATGATACACAGAATCATTGTAAGTCACTTTACTTTCATTTGCATGTCTGTCGCGTTTATGCTTTCGCTTTCACACGGGCTGTAGAAGCAGCTGCTTGTGAACTAGCCAGTTGTGGAATTGCCCCCACACAGAGTATCTATAGAGGTGAAGGATTTAGAAAGTGCCACTGTAGATGTAGCATGTCCTATCTATGAATCATATGAAAAGGTTGATAAAGAATTCTACCTGTATCCTCCAGACTGATGTCTTTAATGTTTTAGCAAAATATTTGTTTTACTCAATTTAATTTTTTGTTGTAAATGTGAAATAAAAGTAAAATTATTTGTACCTATGTGAATTTTAATATTTTTTCTTCATATAAATTGCCCAGTTCATGAACTAGGTAAGATTTCATAAATGTTGTTTTGGAAGACGAAGGACCAGGCTTTATGTGATAAACAACATAGTCTACGTCAGTTTTTGTAGTCCCTGTGGTGTCGTGGTAGCGTTCCCTGTTCCTATGTGGAAGTCCAGGGTCCCATTTCTTTTGACTATTGGAGTATTGAGTGTACAGTATATTGAGGCCGCATGCATTTGGACTTATCATATATATATAGTGTGTGTGTGTGTCATAGCATGTTACTGTACACACAACTGCAGGAAACGACGGGCCTGATAATTATACAGTAGATCCTGGATGAAAATCAACATAACCTCGGGACCACCAATGTGTAGAGGTAATGGCTGTAGGGGGGCACACTCGCCTTGCCTTGCTTGACATCACCAGATAATGAGACATCATAACACCTGAAGATGTGAAAGACTTAAGGTAAACAATTTTAACCTGATCATTGTTAGTAAAACGAATTTATATTTGCATGTTCCTAAATTGCAAACGTGCAGATACATTACAACATAACATTAATGACAGGTCTGACGAGTAAAAAAAAAAGGCTGCAATAAATATGTATTTCCAAACAATGACCAAACATAATGTGGTAACTTGCCCTGATAACGATTCTCTTATTTACTCACAATAAGTAAGTATAATAACCAAATATTATTTTCTACAGTATTAATCTTATAATATGTTTGTATCATAATTTAAGCTTGCTCTCACATTAGTGATTTATGTATAAAGTCATCAGACGTGAACAGCTCCACCTGTTAGGACACTCCCGGCGACTACACTAGGCATTGTGTTGTTTAACTGGCGCTGTAAGAAGCTTTGTCTATGGGTTGAAAATCAAAATTGAACCAAAGAATTAACAGAGTTCCTTCCAGTGGTTCATTCTGCTTCCTGAAGACACATACCTTTTGAGGTGAGTGTACAGAGGCTGCTTAGGGGTGGACACACTAACTCTCAGTAGGACAAGAGGACGTGTGTCTTGGGCATGATCCCACCTAATGACTGCTCTCTACCCTCGTCTCGGCTGGGCGACTCTCGCCGGCCATAGACTCTGAGCAAGGACTTGTAAACTAGCTAGAACTGATTACAAACCAAGCCCTTCGACAACATATACCAGACATAAATGCGATTTCTACTGGGAATGAATGATGTTCAGTGGATAATTGACAATACTATATTGACATTATATAAGACTATTTAATTGGTGAATAGATAATGACTTAAATCTGGTTCTGTAAAATTGTAATAATAACCAACACTGTTATTTATTTAACAGTAAAGATACAAATACTGTAATAAGTCGAATAACCAATATTACTACTACTACAGTACTACTTTGCTGTTACTCAAAATTGAGTATGATGATCATCCAGCTATGATACAATGATATGAGTTATTAAAGATGTCACCATCGTTGGTGAGCTCTGAGGTGACTCGAGAGGCCGATACGGGACCGGCAGGGCCGTCCACAGATGGTGCTTGTGTGGGGGGCTACGTCTAGGGCAGGAGCGTATTTTCGCCGTTGGCTCTTGTCTGCCTTGATATGCAGTCGGGGTAACTCGTAAGCATTGACGCCTCCTGTGGTGCTCCTCAAAGCGTTAGGATGTGGAGTGAGTATCTCCCAGGTGAGGGACCCGAGTCGATTTGGTACTTTTTCAGGTTTTTCCTTAGACTTACACCTTTTCTGTTGCCAGACAGCGTTATGTTCATCATTCATTAGGTGACAGTAAAATAGCTGTTTTGGCAGTCTACTGTCGTCCATGTGGGCAACATGGCCACTTCAACGTAGTTTTTCGTGGATAATGGTAGCCTTGATGCTCCTGCAGTTAAAATCAGCGAGAATACTGGCATTTGCTCTTTTGTCTTCCCAACGAACTCGGAGGATGGAACATAGACTACATTGGTAAAAGTTTTCAAGTGCCTTGAGGTGTCTCCTGTATGTGACCCATGTCTCGCTGCCATACAGCAGGATTGGGAGGAGCACTGAATGATACACGTGCAACTTTGTAGATAACTTCAGCTCCTTACAACTGAAGACACGAGTACAGAGTCTGCCAAAGGCTTGAGATGCACATCTGATCCGATGTTCAACCTCTTTATTGATGTTCGCGGTGATGGACAGGCGAGAGTCAAGATACTGAAAGTGGGTAATATTAGAGAGTGTAGTACCATTAATCTAGTTGGATGGTGGAGGTGTGACTGAACCAGGAGCAAACTAAAAGAGAATCTGAGTCTTACATTCACCTCAAGGCCGAAGTATGCCTACGCATCTGTTTAGGTGTTCAGGATCCCCTGTAGGTTGTGTGCAGAGTGAGCAATGAGGGTGAGATCGTGTGCCTACTGAAGTTCAGAGATGGAAGCATGCCGGCACCTTTGTTCCTGATGGAGTCGTCTAAATTGGCACTGGCACGAGTCAGGAAGGCAGCCAAGTAAATGGAAAAGAGAGTTGGTGCGAGAGCACAACCTTGTTTTACCCCCGTTTGGATGGAGAAGAACTCAGACGGTGCCATTGTGCAGGATACTGACGTTCATGCCTACTTGGAGTTCCCTTACAATGGTGATAAATTATGGCGGGCAACCAAAACGACTGAGGGTTTACCATATGGCTACCCTGTTGACCGAGTCGAAGGCCCTAGTAAGGGCGATGAAGGCCATTTACAAGTATTGATACTGTTCTCTGCGCTTTTCCTGTATCTGGCTGGCAGCAAAGATCAAGTTAGTGGTGCCTCGTCATGGTCTAAAGCCACATTGAGGATTTGGGAGGAAGTTTTCCACTTCAGGAAGAAGTCGGTATAGGAGGACTCAGGTGATAATCTTGCTGGCTATGGACAGCAGTGAGATCCCATGGTAGTTGCCACCGTCTGACCGGTCTCCCTTGTTCTTATAAATATTGACGATGGAGGCGTCTTTAAGATCTTGGGGGACTTCTTCCTTCTCCTATAAGGGCCGTGCCTCTTATAACATTTTTCTTTGCTCTAATACTTATAACCATTGGTAGCGTGACGAGAGGAGGCTCGTGGGTATATGTAATGATAGTATCAAGTAATAGGGAAGAAATAACGGTAGATACTGTAGGTAAATAATAGACACAATATACAAATACAAAATTTATTTAAACATTAATATGGAGGAAGGAGAAAGAATATATGTACCAACAGACGAAATCTGGTACTATGCCCTCGCCCTTATATTATTATTATTATTATTATTATTAGCACACACACATACACACAGTCCATAATGCGGTCAGCCACGAGAGGGTTAGTGGGCGGTGGGTGGTGGTTAGAGGGTGTGGTGGTGGGAAAAGCGAGTGTTTCTTTGAGAATAAGGTTGAGATAATGTAAATAGGCTAGGTCAAGGGGTGGTGGGTGGTGATAGTG